TTGTGTGGAACACAAAGGACTCCATCTCTATGACACTATTTGTATGAAAGACCAGAACAGGCCATTTGAGAGACCCAGGGTAGATCAGTGCTCCCCAGAGGCGGGGGAGGGAGGAATAGGGAGTGACCTCCCGGAGGATGGAAATGTAGTGGGATTAGCTCTTTAAGGAGTGGCTTTTATGGTCGGTGAGTTATATCTTAATAACAACTTTTAAAAAGAACAAACTGTCACAGAGGTCCACAGATCACATGTGCCTTCCCTGATCCAGAGTAAGTGCTCAGGATATGACAGTCAAGATGAGAAAGTTGGACCCCCACACTCAGGCACTGTACTGGGGTTTTTCTTTGAAGGCCCAGCCATCCATGTCAGCCCTTCAAGATTTAAATTGTGTCTTGTAACCTGAGCAAGAAGCAAGAAGTGTATTTGAAAGTGTCTACCCAGCCTCGGGAACGACGGGTCACTTGAATGCTGAGTATTTCCAGCCCCCGCACCTGCTGGCCAAGACCTAAATATGGACAGTGGGCCCTAGAGAGGGGGCAGGAGGACGAAAAGGGGCTCTGGTCCCTGGGGCTCCAGCACCCAGGCCAGTGGCAGTCTGCAGGTGTCACGACTGGGGGCCTTGGAAGGGCCACTGTGGTTGCCTTGGGGACACGATGATCCATGGCTGGAGGGGAGCCGATCTGGTCTTTAGGACCAGGAGACCTCGCTCAGGCTGATGCTCCACCATCCTCTCTTTGGGGAGCCTGAAGGAGGAACCCCTACTTTTCCTTACTCGAGGGATGCACCCCCCAGCCCAGCCCACCCCCACCTCCCTGCTGTGGTAGAACATCACCTGCGTTCTCTGGGCGCAAGGGGGCCCTCTGAGCTCCTGACAGGGGGCTGACCCTCTGTCCAGGCACTGGCTTCACTGTTCACTGTTGTTCCCGCTCCCTGTGGCCCCCAGGGCACCGTGCGCAGCCGCGTTCGGTGCCGCCCTCCCCGGCTCAGCGCTCACTCTCCAGGTCTCCTCAGCACCACTGCCGTGGCTGCTGCACCCCACCCCATTCCAGTGACGTCCCCTTAGCAAGGAGTTCGGCTTAAGTGTGAATGCATCAAAATAACCAGTGTGCCTCCTTTCACTTCCCTGTAACGCCAGGCACAAGGCCACCTCTGTTCCGTCCCTGTGATTCTTCCCATCCTAAGTGACGCTGCTCAAACCTCGCAGCAGGGAGGGCTGAGTGCCCAGCCCCGGCCAGTGACAGCAGGACATTGCGGGAGCAGCAGGAGGCTGCCCGCCCAGCCCAAGGAGGGAAAGAACACACAGGCCCATCCCGGGTCACAGCTGCCACCCTCGCAGCTGTGCGGAGTGCCTGCCGGCCAAGGAATGTCCTCAGAAGCTGGCCCCACCCCGGCCTCCTCCCCGGAGGGTGGCTTCTGGGCACCTGCCACCACCCCACAGACGCTGCCCTGCCGCCAGACGCCTATCCGTCGTACCCTGGTTCACCTTCGGCCAAATTTAGGAATTGCTTGTCTGGAGTTCATGCAGTCCCAGAAGGCCAAGGAAAACATCTTGCTGCAGAAAAAGTGTTCTTTGTGCGGAAACTGACAGACACTATTCCCACTTCTCAGAGCACTCCTGTGCTTTCTGAAGCCTGGGCTCCATCGCAGGGAGAGCAGCACCCGGGTCAGGTGTGAACTCACTCTCACTGAGTCCACACACAAAAGGCGATGACACCAGCTCACGGGTTTGTGAGATGTGGATTCTGGTTCTGCGCCTCTGGGGCTGTGTGGCTTTGTGAATCAGATGCTCTGCACCTCTGTTTTCCCATCTGTAAAAAGGGATGACACTAGTGGTTACTGGATTAGACTCATCAGTGCTTGCAAAGCACTTTGAACAATGCCTGGCACTATTTTAATTATTATTATTATTATTATTATTATTAATTATTATCAGGCAAGTGCCTCTCAATCGTGACCGCCGGAGAGGAGCAATCCTAGGGCTCTCATTTTGCAGACCGGAAGCTGCCATAGCTAAGGATCAGGGGCCAGAGCTGGGCTGGGGCCAGGCCAACAGTGGTTCCGCTGGGCATCCTCACTTTCCCTCTGCTCAGGGCAAAGGCCAGCCAGCCCTCCACAGAACGCTGGCACCCTGAGAAGGGCGACTCGGGCCCTCATCATCCTCATGCAAAGATGGGTTGTGAACCTGACCTTGCCTCCCCCAGCCTGCGGCGTGGGCACCTCTGCACTCCAGCTCTGGGATTCCTGCCACCCCAGTCCAGTGCCAGCACGGGCGGTCAGGTCCCTTTCTCCCTGGCCCTCCCTGGCCTCTTTCACCCTGAAGTTGAGGCCCGGGATGGAAGGCGTACTTCACTTCCTCTCCCTCGCACTAAGGGCTGCAGCCGAGAGCTCACGTGACTAACCTGCAGCTCTGTGAGGCTCAACTCCAGGCCCGTGCTGGGACTCAGGGCATCTGCTGGCGGCGCTGTGGGTTTAGGGTTTTTGTTTATGTTTAACACATGAATGCACACACACATGCTAATAAGAATGCCAACAGCACAGGAGCATTTGAGGAAGAAGTAAAAGTCCTATTTTCCAATCTCTTCTCTCCTCTGTTCCCTCACAGGAACACCACCCTTTCAGGGTATCTGTAAACCCATCCAAACGTTACTCTGTCTCTACGGATCCTACTGTATCTATCATTCGAAGATGTCTTTCTTTTGCTTAACATGTATTCAAGACTTTTTCTCCCCCTCCGTGATATTAGGGATTAAACCCAGAGCTTGACTGCTAAGCTGGATTCTCAGCCTTTTTTTTTTTTCCCTAGTACCGGGGATTAAACTCACGACTGCACACTTGCAAGGCAGGCGCTTATGCTGCTGAGCAATCCCCGGCCCTTCTCAGCCTCTTTTATATTTTTCTGTAAGTCACTAAATTGTTCGTAAGATGGAATTTGTGATCCTCCTGCCTCTGCCTCCCAGAGTGCTGGGATTACAGGTGTGCACCACCATACCTGGCAAAGACCTTTCCTGTTGACACCTGACAAACTGTTGCATTCTTTACAGATTATCCACTTGTACAAATGGACAAACCACTTGCTATCTCTGCCGTTGTTAAGCAATCAAGGTGGTCACAGTTTTCCTCCTCCGAATTCTTTCCTGTGTGTCTATGCACCTATAAATATTTTCTGTAAAAAACATGGGATTTCTACGCCAAAGGATTGCAAGACTCACAACGTACCCTACACTCTATTTCTTTGTTCTGTTTTATTTCTACTCATAGCATTTGTTATAAATTACAGCATACATTTATGGTCTAAAATAAAATTTTTACCAGAGCAGATACCATATCCATTGGAGGCTGTCTCTCTAATACCTACAACAGTGTCTGGTGTGTAGTAACGAGCCAGTGCTTATTGAATGAAAAAAATAATTGAAAAACAGACATCTTGAATAGCGATAATGTTTCCCATTTATTATCCCAAAGTCTGGCTAGTTTGTGCTCTTCCAAGAGAGCAAGACACGGTCTCCTTGCATCCTTGAAAACGTAAGATATTATCACCTTCTGAATTATGTTCCCCACCGACAGAGGGGAAGTCACCTTCTATTTACACCACGCTCGACACTTTCTTCCAGCGCCCGGCCTGAGAGTCAGACTGAGAAGTTCTGTCTGCACGTCTTGTGCCCAGAGCCGCAGGCTGGAAACCAGCTCAGGCAGGGGGCGAGGCTGAAGGGAGAGCAAGGCAGAGCCCCAGCCAGAGCCACAGCCCCTGGGAGCTGGGGAGGGTCGGGGTGCAGAGCCAGCCAAGGACAGCAGCTGTGCTCGGAAGGCAGAACAGGATCCGCCACATGGAGGGGTGGGCCAGCAGCCCATCTGAGGGGCGGTGAGTGGGCAGCCAGCTCCACAGCAGCCAGGCCCAGCTCCCGCAGAGGGAGGAGACCAACCGGACGCCTGACAGCCTCTGAGCATTGACCTTCACCTTCAAAGTCCTCCCCGAGATAAGTGCGAGTCCTTGCTCCCTGAGGGCGCTGCAGCTGCTCTGTGCCACGGTCCCCTCCCTTGCAGAGGGCACTGTGGCTGCCCCAGGGGGCAGCTTCCCAGGAGTGCTGACTCCAAGGGAAACCATGAGTGACCCCACACCTCCTCCGTGTGAGGTCTGCAGAAGACACCACAGCCTGGGAAACACGGAAATGGGGTGCCTCTCCCTGCACCTCACCAGGGAACACTGGGCCCTGCATGATTGGCCTGTACTAGGGCAGACACAAGCAGAAGAACTTTCTAGAATGAAAAAGAGCTGTAACAGCCTGACACAACATGGAGGTCCTATTTGGATTCTGTTTTGAGAAAAACCAGTGACAGAGACTATTTTATAAGAACCAAAGAAACATAACTATAGATGATTAGGTGACGTTAAGGAATAGTGTTGATTTTGGGGGACTGTGTCTTAGATTATATTCATAATAACTCCTCTTCAGAGGTTCACCCTGAAGTATGTAGGATAAAACATATTCAATAATTTGCTTTAAAAGATATACTTAGGTTATTTTTAAAAATAAATGAAGCAAATACAGCAAAATGCTAAAACTGTTGAATCCAGGTAATGGGTATGTGGAGTGATGCCAGTCTCTCAAGGGTTCTGTGTGTTTAACCTTTTCATAATAAAATTTATAAACATGCAAACAAAGCAGTCAAGGAGGACCAACAGAGGTGAGAAAGTGAGGGGCAGGGACGGGCGACCCAGAGATGCCCCCCTCACCAGGCTGCCCAGCCCGGTCACAACTGCCCCGCTCTGAGGCTGCAGCCTCGGCAAGGATGAAATCACAATGCATCGTGGCATCCGGGAGGCGGCTGTGAGCTCAGCTGGGCACAGGCTACAGGAGGCCGTGTCTGCAGACGGAACCCGTCCATTGCAGGCAGCAAAGCCGGGAAAAGCTGAGGCCAGGCCCAGCAGACCCCCCAGGAAGCTGGAGCCCCGCCATCTGCAGTGCAGCCAAGCATGAGCTGGCCTGTCTGTGCTTGCAAAACTTGAGACAGCACAGACCTTCCCAGAAGTCAGAGCTGGCCCGTATGAGGCGGGAGACGCCGTCCACAGCCCCCTGACAGGAGCAGGACAGCTGGCCTTTACTCAACAGCCAGGGTGCTCCTCCACCTCGCCCCCCGCCCTGGGGCTGCCATCGGGCCTGGAACCTACCGAGGGCCAGTGGGGCCAGGAGTTTTCAGGGGTGACAACAAGGCTCTCCTCTTAACGCACATTGACTGACACCTACTTACAGCTCATCAGCCTGGTATCAGGCCGAGGACCCTGCACGCAGCGGCTCACAGCCCATGGAGGATCAGAGCCAGAGCCAGCTTAGCCCGGCTGTACTAGGCAGGGTGCTCCTGGAGCCTGCCAGGTTGGTGTGCCTCTCCAGGTCCGAGTCCTGCTCCTAACCTACTGTCTTCTTTTTGTTTCTGTGGATGTGACAAAATATTTATTTCTGACAGTTCCAGGACCTGGAAGTCCGAGACCAGGTGCCAGGATGGCTGATTCTGGGGAGTCTTCTCTTCCTGTTTGCAACTGCCGATTCCCACTGTGTCCACCCATGGCAGGAGGTGAGGGAGCTCTTGGGAGCCCTGTTTAAGAGGGCACTAATCCCATGGAGGGGGTTCCACCGTCATGACTCCTGATAATATCAAGCTGGGTGTCAGGATTTGAGCATAGGAATTTGGGGACACATGTTTAACACACACTGAGTCAAAAACTGAGGCCAGTGCCCAGCACTGTGTTCACAGCTCTCCAGGTCATGAGGACTGAATTATCAGCCCAAGGGCTGGGGATTTAGCCCAGCAGCATAAGCGCCTGCCTGGCAAGTGGGAGGTCGTGAGTTGGATCCCCGGTTCTGCAAAAAGAAAAAAGAATTATCAGCCCAGAGCAATGTCCCTCTGAACTTCGCCTCCCAGAGTGAGAGGCAGGGAGTGTAAGGAAACAGATGTCTGCAGACAGGCAGGGAAAATGAGCTCTTCACCTACCTGTGCTCAGCAGGCAGCCCAGCAGCCTCCGCCTGGGGGAACGAGGTTCCTACAAATCTGTCCAGGATGGGAACATTCTCCAGACCAGATCAAGTTATGCTGTGATAACAACAAGCCCCTAAGTCCTGACAAGTTGTGGCTCGCCCTCCCTTCCTGTCTGTCTGTCTGTCTTTCTTTCATTTTTGCTTCAGGGATTGAACTCATGACCTCGCATTTGCCTAGTAGGAGTCCTGACAAATTGATCTCTGGTCTTGGGGAGATTCTGTGGCCTGGGGTTCTCCCCAGTGCCCTTTCCTCTCTGCCATGCCCTGTGATCCGAGCTTCACCATCTTGGCAAATTCATGGTGAGGGATTTGTAAGGGATGAGGACACTAGGGAAGGACACTCCAGTCAGGAAGGTGACATGTGTAACTTCTTGTGGTCACAGGCCAGAAATGCTACTCATCCCGTCCTCACTGCCGGAGTATGAGCTGTCAGAGGCCCCGGAGGACAGGAGCAGCCCAGGGAGAGCCCACCACAGGGACTCGATTCCTTTCCTGTGCTGCGTGCTAGGTAGAAGGCAGATAGCTTAGCAAACTTTTCTAAATGTGAGATACTATTTTTCTGTAATTCTCCAGTTCTTGCAATGCTTTATGTTGCCAAGTGATGACGGGTCTCTAAGGAGCTCTGTGGTTCGGTCACCACTTCTGCTACATGCCCTACGGCTCCTGGCCTAGCCTCTGGCAGGCAGAGCCCAAGGCCAAGCAGAGGGATATGCGCTGCCATGGTGGGAGACCAATGCTCAGGCCCCCGGGGGCTGGGAAACCAGGCCTGGCCCAAGTGAGGGCTGCGGTTGTGAGAATCCCAAGTCCAGGAAAAGAATCAGTGCTTCTCCAGGCTGTGTTGAGGAAGAGAAATATGGCCATTTCCTCCAGAAAAAAAGGACGGAAGGAAGGAAGGAAGGAAGGATGGAAGAAAGAAAGAAAGAAAGGAAGAAAGAAAGAAAGAAAGAAAAGTGAGTCCAAGCCACATTCCTGGCCTTGTTTTGGCTCTGATTCAGCTTTTTTGTTTGTCTTGGGCTTTCACTATGCAGTTCAGGCTGGCCTTCAGCTCACTTTGTAGCTCAGGCTGGTCTTGAGCTTGCAACAACCCTCCTGCCTCAGCCTCCCGAGTGCTGGGATTACAGACATGTGCCACTATGCCCGGCTTCTGATTCAGTTTTATAGGGCAGCAACTGCTATGGGGCCAGTTAGTAACCCCAAGAATATGACCTCCCCACCTTTGAGCACCTCCAGGGCAGAGCCTTAGCAGACTCCCCCTGAGCCCAGGAGCATCCTCCCCTGTGTAGTGCCTGGAGTGACTCGAAACAAGTACCAAGACTCTTCGCTGTGCTAAGGCTGCCAGCCCTGCGGCCTCCAGGAAAAGGAGAGGTCACGGGGCCCACCCCTCCTGGCCCCGAGCACTTTGGGCCCCTCCCCTGCTCCATTTCAGTTAAGATGTCACCACCCGGGACTCCAGCAGAGAACACTCTAATGGGGTCAGCGCCCAGGGCACTAACATGGAATGCGGCTGCCTTCTCATGGGACAGATGAGACTAATGGCCATTGTCCTGAGCCCCTTGAATTAAGTCGCCATGCCCTTTGCTGAAAGATAAATTGCGTATCTGCCCCGAGGGAGGATGAATCACTATGGTAATTCCCTTGATTAAAGCCCATTTATTAAGGATCCTGCTGGAGGTTGTTTTTTAAATAGAGTAGGGAAGGGAAAAGGGTGCAGTAATTGGGTTTCCCTTTGGCCTACAAGTTTTATCCTCAGAGAAAGCAGTAAAAAAGACTCAGTTTGCTCAAATTCTTGCCTGGGAATCCTACAGTGGAGAGAGAGAGACAGACAGACTGAGACAGAAAGAGTACTGTCCCAAAGCCTTTAGGCATCCATCTGACCCTTCACCAAGCAAATGGGACATCCTGGGGCTTGGGGGCCACTGAGGAGCCACAGGGCCAAGACCAGCAGAAAGAGGGTAGGGCCTGTCATCCACTTGCGGGGCTCCCCCTGTTGCATTTCAGCAGAAGTATTTTACCTGCTATCTGAGCCCCCATGTGAGAAACTCAACCCTCACTCAACTCTGAGCGTCCGGGGCTGCAGAGTCCATGCCACCTCCACAGCAGGCAGAGGCCTTCCACAAACAGAACTGGGCTGAGAAGCAGCTGTAAATACTGGCCTCTGTCCCACCTACCCAAAGAGCTAGACAGCCAGGCACTGCAGAGGAGCCCCCGAGACAAAATGCCTCACAGCCACAGCCTGCATCCCGCTCAAGAGCCCAGGACCACGGTACACCTGCACCAAGCATCTTAAAATATAGGCGAATCTGCTGAAGTGTCCTAGGAGCTCAGAGGAGCAGCTCTCAGATCTGAATTGCAATCTGGAGAAGGAAATGCACGCTTTGGGGGAGGTTGAACTCACAGCAGAGGCACAGAAGAGAATGCCTAGGCCAAATGCCTGAATTCTTAAATGTCTTTTGTTTCCTAGGGCCTCCAAATTGCCACCCTGGACAGGCAGCCCTGGGTCCAGAGCCCTAGGATTGGGCCGGATCCTTCTCCGGGCCACTACCCTAGTTCAGTGTAACCCACATCCTCCATTACCACCTTCTCTCCCCTTCTCGGTCCCCTTCCCTGCTCCCCACTCAGTGGCTCACAGGCTGGCCGCTCTGAGTGGGCTATTCACACTTCCACAGCCTGCGGAGCAGAAGCTGAAGGTCGTGCAGGCCTCCTTAGAAGAGCAAGCTCAGAAAATAGAGGCCCCGGCTGCACTGTCTGCACTTCGGTCAGAAAGTCCACTGTGTCCTCCCAGGGAGCTCGTTTGCTCCCCTGGCCCTAGGCTCAGCTGCCCACCCAGGAACCTTGCCAGGTGGCCCTGCCACAAAATGCTTCCTGCTATAGCCCCACGGTGGCATCATCTCTTCAGGGAGGGCAGGCCCCTGCATGCCAGGCCAGCCAGGCCAGCGGCCCTGGCCACAGACAGAGCCGAGTGCCAGGCTCCCCGCGGCCCAGCCACCCGCCGTGCGTGCTGTAATTACATAGAGGGAGCTAAACTGCACGTCTGGCCAGAAATCAGCGTGCTTCCCAGGCAGGTTGTCTGTGCCAGTTACCTGTCCCACATAGGCCAGGGAGAGATAGATCAGAGTCGGTGCGCTCTGACTCCTCCTCCAGCGTCAGCTCCTCTGCTTTACACCACCCTCCTCTCCGCGCGCCGTCCGTCCCCTTCCAGCTGGGCTGCTGGGTCCCCAGGATAGCCTCAGGCGCCCCGGGGGTCAGGTTACATGAACGCCACACTGGTGATTCTGCTGCAGGCCCTACCTGGTTTCCTTTCCACCAACCCCACTCAACAGCTGTCCCTGTGTCACGCCAGTCTCTACCTTCCTGCCATGAGTGGAGGCGTGATCCTCATAAATGTCAATGTGTGTTCATCAGAGAGCAGAGGCCTCTGGTCCCTCGGACACTTACCTCTCCAGCCTAGCTCAGTCGGCTACAGAACGGCCTGCATGCTCTGCGTCGTGGCAGTTAGGTGGGAGGGTGCACAGCGCTCAGGCCGCCCTCAGCAGGCCAACTTAGCTCCTACCTCTGGAAGCCCAGCGGTTTGAAAAAAATCTGAGAATCTCCCTGCACCCATCTCTGCCTGCCTGCCCCACAAGACTCAGCTCCGCAGGGCCTGGGACTGGCAGGGGCCAAATGGGGTTTTCCTCAGCCTGAGCAGGGCTTGACAGAGGACACCTCTCAAGCCCAAGTGTCCACAGCTAGCAGGACTGGGGTGCCAAAGTCAGGAAGGCCCCGCAAGTCCCTCTCCCGCTCTGAGCCCTGAGTCATCAGCAGAAGGCTGGTAGGTGTTTTCGGGAGAAAACCCCAGGAGACACTGCGGCGATGGGACAGGGGCTTCCTGTGTTCTGGGAAGGTGAGGAACCAACAGGAGAAGAAAGTGGTGGCCCCAGAAAACAGTGCGCCTCCTTCAGGGTTGAGTGTGCAGACAGAAAGGCAGGAGGCCTTTCCAGAAGGAGCTGGAGCCAGCCTCAGCGTTGGGGCAGCGGTAGGGTTTCCACTTGTGCTGAAGTATCGGGGACCGTGAATTCATTTGGATCAGAGCCCTTCCCGAGGCCGGAGGTGGCCTAGTATGCTGGTCCCCCTGTGCCAGGGCGCACCCTTAATGGTGTGTCTCCATTTCTACAAGAATGAGTTGAGGACCAGACTCAGTGGTGCGTCCCATAATCCAGCTATCTAGGAGCCTCAGGCTAAAGGTCCAAACGTTTGAGGCCAGCCTGGCAACTCAGCGAGACCCTGTCTCAAAATAAAACTGGTGGTTTAGTGGAAGCGAGGCCTGGCTCCAATCCTGAGTACCAACACCCCACCCACCCATGGGGTGCGGCTAAGCCTATGCCACCTAGGAAGTCCCACCCCTCAGGGTCTGCCTCCTTCCTGCAGTGAAGGGCTGGCCTGGGCTTCCCTCAGGATTCAGTGGAACCAGTCCAGAGATGTGGCCAGACACGCAGACACACCCACACACCGGCAAGCACCTTCACGATACACATTGGTAATCACGCACAAAAACACAGAAACCTGTGCCCGGGGCCTACTTCCTTTCAGCTTGAAATCATTTTCTGTCCCCTCTTCGGGCCTGCAGCCGGGTTATGCTCTTCCCAGAGAACCAAGAGGTCACAGAGACTTTTCACCTCCATTTTGATTTACTGCTCTCCGTAAAAAGAAAAAGAAGTTCAATTAATTTATTCTGAACAGTGAAAAAGGCTTTGCAAAGCAGGCAGGCAGATTCTGGGGAAGGTTTGGAGGCATCTTGGTGGACAAAGGAAAGAGAGCTTCTCCCACTCGCTCTACACAGCACACCCTGGAGGCAACCGGGCTGCTCCGCCTGGGACCCGCTGGGTTACCCCTTGGGGACCAAGCTCAGGCTTCTGTGTCCCTCCAGGGACCTGCTAGAGGGGCAGTCCTGTAAGCCTGGGTGACAGAATGAAGGGGGAAGCCTTCAGGGAAGAGCAGGTAGCGCAGACAAAGAGTGGGGCCTGGCCGGAAGGACCAAGCGGGGCGCTGCAAGAAGAGGGACCAGCACAGCCAGAGCAAGGCAGCCCGGATGCCGGGCCGTCTCCCGGGTGGGGCCCAGGGAGTGACCAGCGGGGCCTTCCAGAAGGATGGAAGTGCTTCATTTAGAAGGCAGGGGCATGGCACAGAGGCACCGGGGACATTTTAGTAGGAAAGCACTATAATCAACCACTATGAGACTAGCAATAATTCTTAAACAGTTGACAGAGTGACCTGCAGGGCCCGGGCCCTTCAACCACTGTCACAAGCCTGCTAGAGTGCGCCCCATGGGGACTGTGAGAGCCTGGCACTGGACGGGTACGCTCAGCCGCTGCCTGAGCTGATGAGAAAGCGTAGCCAGCTCCCCGGTCCTGCTCCTCTTCAAGGCAGCACTGGGGGAGGATACTTTTTATTTGCCTGTTCACCACACTGAAATTGGTATGAAACACAAAGCTCATTTTTAAAAATACAATGTTTTCAACCAGAGTCCAGACTCCGAAAACAGTCACCATTATGATGGCTTTACTCTGATGGGTCTCTGCCAACTCTTCCCCTGCACGATGACTCCTCAAAATACAGAAGTGGTTTCTCTCGCCTCTGTCCCTCGAACCTTGCCAGCTGCTCATACAGAGCAAAACTAAACAGATGGGAAACTGGTGAATCCGATGGTGATGCCTTAATCACCACACTGTTTGCTTGAGTCAAATCATTGTGAATTATTTATCATGCTTTGCAGGTTTGACCTTTAAAATGAACTCAGATTTGTAGGCCCTCTCATTCGCATATTTTTCTAAAGACAAGATTAATTCTAGGCTGAAAAAAAAGTTGTTCAGCATGATCCTTGTGAGAGAGAAATCCTTGTAAACAGGTAAGCGCCTGGAGGCCACTAGACCTCCAGCTCCTGTCTGTGCTGGCTGAGGCCACAGCTCTGGGCTGCCGTCCCTCCTGCTGGGGATAGGCACAAGCGGGCACATCTGCAAACTCAGGCGCTTTCCAAAGCGTCTTTGTTCCAGGGGAAGTGTTCCCGAAAGCAGGGTGCGAGGGGCAACAGTGGGTGGGGGTACATGGCAACGGGAGAGGAGAGCGGGTGAAGTATAAAAAGTGTCCTTGGCATAAACCAGCCTTTCACAAGTGGTGCTGGTGACGAGAATGGTCACAGTACCTGGTGCCAGACACTTGAAGGTGGGGGTTGCGGTAAAAAAGCGTCAGGAATATGGACCGCTGGGCCCCACAGGGTCTGTGAGAACAGCTAGCCATTTCCTTAAATCTCAGGCCATACCCTGAGGAGACCAAGGACCTGTCTAGAGACATCTTCGGGAACAAAGGACAACACTGGGAAAGAGGTCTCAGCTGTCCCTGCCAGCAGAGCACAAGGCAGCTTCAATGTGCCAGGCACCGAGTGGGGAGGCCAGGGCTGGCCGAGTCAGTCACCGTGCAGGTGATGGACATCACCAAGGCCACTGGCTTGTCCGAGGAACAGGCCACGTGACAGGGTTGGATTTCACTGTTTCTTTTATCAAATGGTCCCTGAGTCAAGATCATTCGAGCCCCTAGTTAAGATCATTTCTAAACACATGAAAAGCGCAGAGTGTGATGCTACCAGGCAGGCCACCACAAGTGGACATCAGAGCTCTGGTCTCCCCTCCAAGGGGGAGCTTCCCTCCGGTGCTGGAATATCTTAGTGTGGAAACCCCTTTCCATGCCCTTAGATGGGGGGTCCCCGGGGGCGATACACAAGCTCTGGAAAGAGCACCGCTGATTCCTGAGTTTGAATCCTGTCTTCATTCATCCACTGTGGGACCTTGGTGTGGACGAAGGTCAGCACCCTCCGGCAGAGACCACCGAGCACACACATGCAGGAGAACAAGTGAGTTACTGCTCATGGCAGGCAGGGAGGGCAAATGCACACCAGGGGCCGTAGGGAGAAGGAGAGAGGGAAATCTATAGCGGATTCTGGTTGAGTTGAGGGATTTGGGGGAGATAAGAAAGTGGGCGTGCCCTCTAGATTGGATGCCATAAAGAAGCAGGAACAGTTCTGTGACCTGGTGTCTCAGTAATTTTACCTTTAAGGAGCAAAGTTGCCAAAGAGGATAAAACTATGGTTGGTTTAAAAAACGCAGCAGGGACTTACTTTGGCCAGAAGATGCTTGGCATTTTCAGGTGCACAGTGACCTTGCTCTTGTCTGTGCTTACACGTCATTAGAAAGTGGCCTTCTCTCACCTTCCGTGTCCTCTCGTGGTGTCCAGAGTTGCTGGCTGAGGTTGGGTGTGTCCTGAGGAGAAGTCTGGCCAGCTTGTGTGGAAGGCCACTTCCCATGTCAGGGCCTGCACTTCCTTCTTCTGCAGGTTACGATCTCCTCCAAGCACACAGCTCTCCCTCCGGTGGTGTGTACCTCACAGGGTAGTTTTGAAGGAGGGATCGGGTAATGTGGTGCTCACCAGGGTCAGCACAGCCAGGAGCACATCACCCTGAAGCTCTGTTGCCCAGCTCACAGGCGGGAGACTGGGCAGAAAAACCCAGCACGCTCCGTGGAAAATCAGAGATGAAATATCTGTCCCATGTCCAGGAGCCGCCGAGCTTCCCATTTTGAATTACACTTCGGTCTGGCAGGGCTAGCCTTGAACTGAATGTCCTCCAGCCTCAAATCACTGCAAGCAGTCCTGGCAAGGGACCAGGCTCCACTTGCGGAGGCCTGCCCAGGACTTGGGGACGGGGGTGGGGAAGGAGTCATCCCAGGACTGCCATAGCTAAGCAGCTTTCACCCTGCGGACACAGAAAGGTGGCCACAGACACAGAACTTGGGGAGCGTTGCCTTGTCTGTTAGTAGGAAAGCTAATAGCACGTAAGATTACTGGAATAAGACACCCAGGCTGAGTTTCTCAAATGACACCCTCTCCTGGGTAACTGCTGTTTTTCAGGTTCTGCATCTGGCTTATTTCCACAAAGACTAGATTTAGTGCCATCTCTCCTTTGGTGGAACAAAGGCAAAGTAAACATTTTGATGACTACTAGCACTGGGTAGTGCCCACTTTTGGGCACTAGAAAGGTATCGGGGATGGAATTCAGCCAGTTCCTTCTCAGCTGTGTGTATGTAGCACCTTCGGCCTTGACATGCTCAACTGTAAAATGGGAATAAAAATGCAGTGCTCCCCACAAACCCAAAGACAGTGGAAAACCAAGTTATATTCACATGTGAACACAGAAAGAGCTCTGAAAAGACATGTTATTATTTATAATGAGTGCCATTCATCAGCAAATAGAACAGATCTGAGGCAAAATGAAAAAAGGTCATATTATAACCAATATTTTCTACAGTGACCTAACTGATGTTTCTCCATAATGTTTAACAACAACAGGAAACTCCAAGACCTCTGGATGGGCCTGGGTTCTGCTTACGAAGGCAGAGAACTTCACTCATTACGTGTGAATGATCGATCCAGTCAGCAAAGATTTATAGGGAGTCTGCTCTGCGCCAGGCCTGGTTCCCGGAGTCTGGGATAATTATTGGGAAATAAATTCATCAAGAAGCTCTGGAAACCAACTGTGCAGCCTGAAAAGCGGCTGAAAATGTGCTGCCTTGGCCCTGACCATCTGTGGCCTGTGCGAGGCTGGCAGATCTCAGGACCTGCAGCAAGGGCCAGGCCCTTTGTACCCCAGAAGACAATGTCCTTGCAGCCGGTCCTTGTATATAGCTATAGAGATCCCGCCCTGCACTCCAGCCCTGGGCTGACACCAGCAGAACGACAGGAGAGCAGTGCAGGGAACTGGGGTCCTCACTCTGTCCTGTCACACAGATCTCAGCCTCTGGTGCCTGACTCTCCTTTAGGGACTGTACCTGTCACCTCTTCAGTATAAGCATCTTTCTCTGCACTGAGGAAACCCCAGGCCTCTTCTGAGCAAGTGAAAGTCATCAGACCCTAGCAGGATCTTCCCTGCTCCATCAGCTGCCCAGTTCAGTACTCGGGAACCGCCAGCATCCCCAGCGGTTTGTCTCAGAGTCCGATAATGTCATGAGGGTCTAGTCCAAGGCTGTTTCTGGTCTTGGCGCAGGAGAAGCAGGGTGATGGGCAGGATAGCTCAGGACGGGTGCTTTCCTAGGTCTCCTCACCAGGGCACAGGCACATGGCTTCCTGGCTCTTTCAGGGCAGCAAATGTGATGATTCTTCCCCTCACTCCACATGTGCGCGCGCACGCACACACACACACACACACACGCACACGCACTCATTGTCCAAGCACAAGGATTCATTCCCAGCCGGGACTGTATTGGAGGGGTGTAAATTGTTTTTCTCTTTGCACACATCCTGCCCAGCTCTGGGCCCAGGGCAGAGCAGTGGAATCCCCTTTGTTCTTCCTCTGGTAACCCAGACTGTTCCCCTGCCGTGTAAAAAGAACAGGACCCATTAAGACCGCCCACCCACCCTAAGGCCCTTGCCTCATCCCCAGACGGCGCAGAAGCTCCATTATTCTCTCCTCTACATCTCGGGTCAGGTCACATTCTTGGGATCTTTTCTACGCTTGTCTAAACAACCCCTAGGGGCTGTGCTCATCCAGTTAGGCAGGCCGTGAAAGGATCATTTTCCCCGGATTACTCCGCGGAATATAAATGCTGCGAGTAAAGTGAAAGGGAGGCGGTGTGCTGGGCGCTCATTAGGGTACAATCCAGGCAAACGGTGCTCAGACCTCTGGGGGCTATGTCTGGGTCTCCAGGGTCACGCTCTGCCCAGCCGCGATGCAGTCATCCCTGTTGCCCACTGTCTCCCAGCTAGACTCGAACCTGAGGCCCAGCAGTTAACGAGCATGACCTGAGAGTGAGTGGTCTCTGCACGCACTGGGAGATCCCCACTTCATAGCCCAGCCACAGGCCACTGCCTCCAACTGCCCCTGTGTGTGTGTATGTGTGCGCATGCACCACACACGTGCTAACTAGGTCCAACTCTGAACACCCGGAATCAGGGTCAGCCGGCAGCTTGGTGGTTTCAGCTATTTTCAAAATATGTAGAAGATTCTAGTTCCTGGCTAAGATTTATTGTGAGATAGGAGGACTCAAGAAGCTAGGGATATAGCACAATGGCACAGCGCCTGCCTGGCAAGCATGAGGTTATGAGTTCAATTCTTGGTACCAAAAACAAGTAACCCAGAGCCCTCCCTGGGATGGCGCACCAAGCCACTAGGGAGAGATGTTTGTTTTCCTGGAGTATCCCAGGCAACAGGCAGGAAATCCCAAACTTTTCTTAGCTTTCAGGTTCCAGGGTGAAAAGTCCCTGAGGGCAGTTGATAACCACTCCACGGTGCTCTGCTCTAGAGTTGGAGGATCTGGTTTTCCTGTTGGGGAACCTTGTCTTCCAGAAGCATCCCCCGCCCTTTCCAGAGCAGATGAAGCCTGCACCGCCGTGGCTGAGGAAGCAGACTGCACACCGAGACCTCTGTGCGGCTGTCCACAGAAAGCTAATGGGCTGGAGTGTGACCATGCATACAAGAAGGCAGCCTGTCCACACCGGAAATGGTGTCCTGGATTCCGGGAGGGCCTCTTGGCAGAAGTACATTACAAGGGCCTCACAAGGAAAGCTGGGCTCAGCCAGACTCGAGGTCTGGGGGTGTCTGTGTTGCAAACAGAGTGAGGAAGTTAGCAGCATGAAGCCTCAGGCGCCTCGGGGTGGCCTGGAGCTGCTGCCAGGTGTGGGCTTTGAAGGGAGAGCCATAACCATGCTTGTCCTGAAACATAGCGCTGGCAGCCAGGGGCTTTGAACACATCCTCAGGCTCCCGGGGACTCCCCACAGATGCGGGAGAGCAGAGGTCCCCCAGCACGGGGGCTCAGCCCTGCCAGAGGAGCAGCTGGTGTCTGGGAAGGTCTGATTTGTCATGCAGTGCTTGGAGTCATCCATGACATCAGAGGGTCCTGAGGAGAATGCAGCCCCCTCGACACCTCTCCAAGAAGCCGTATCCTAGGACCAGCAACATTTTTGGTGAAAGCACGTCTACCCTTCCCATTTTGCAGTTCCTAAACCAACTAGAAGTCTAAGTGGTTTAAAGAATCCACCAGTCATCAGGATTGAGCAGAGGGTTGCATTGTTCTGCTTCTTAATTTTTTCATATGACAAGTGAGGGTGATATAACTATGTGCTCCTAGGACTGCCTGAGCACAGGCTGTGCACATGTGTGTGTACAGGGGTGCGTGCATGTATGTGTGTGTGCACATGTGTGATTTTACACATGCTGTCATCTGATCTCCATCGGCCACTGAGCCAGTGTGTTTAGGTCCGGCGAATCGGTTGCTGTCTCTGGCTTGAAATTTAGCAAAGTAAAACACTTGCCTGATGAGACACTGGGCCTCTAACCCTCTGGGCTCTCAGGGTCATGGGGCCAGAGCGCTCAGAGCAGTGTCCTAGTGGGAGGTGTTGGAGCTGCAGCTGAGTGACCTCTTGTAAATGACACCTCAGAGCTGCAGAGCAGGCTTCTTGTCTGGGAGGCTCACGTGTGTGTGGTCACACACTCTCTCACACTCAGTGCAAGCTGCCTCAGAGGATGAAGACCCGTGTGAATCTACCTGGAATTCTAGGTTCTGGCCCGGGTTAGCATTGGAGAGTCACTCCACAGGACAAAACCCCACAAAACTCAGCAATACCACACTGCCAATGTCCTGAAAATGTACCAGGCCCGTTCCAGATATTCCTCAGGTCTTTACCCAGGACAGGCAGGTTGGTAACCAAAGGATCTTAAGAACTCGGTGCTGGAGACGAGCAAGGCCGGAGGAGGAAGGCAGCCTTCCTAGCCCTATGTGGCCTCGGGCAGGAACCCTGCCTCTCTGGGCTTCAGTTTTCCGTCTGTGAAATGAAGGAGTGGACTCCATGACTGCAGGAATCCCCGTCACTTTTGGTAGTGGATTAAAAACAAAATCAATGATATCTGACAGACGATAATTCCGAAGGTGACACTTACTTTGAAGTTGTAAAATTCTGCTCCCTAATTACTGGCTTGAACACTGTTATGGATTAAGAACTGGTGGTCAACTTAAAGCCAGCTGGATTACATCAGCATGGCACTGAGAGAAGATGCTCCACCTGAGGAAAGTTGCCAGGATAGGTGGAGAGGAAGGGAGGCGTTGAGCAGGCATTGTGTGTTCTCCTACGAGTTACTGTCTGAGCTGTTGGTTCTCCTGGAGAAGCCTTGGTCCTCACATCAAGCATTGCTTCCTGGCTCCGGAGGGGAAGACATGTGTTGCTTGGTCTCCAGGATGAACTCCTTACACTGCTTCCTGGCACGTACCTGGCTGTGCTTGTCGTCAGAGGAGCTCAGGACCTCCATGTCACTGAGGATGGCTGTGGTGCCTTTCAGGACAGCCCTGGTCTTTGTTGTGAGTTTGACTTCTCGGCTCCAGCGTAGAACCCTCATCCCACCAGCACAGCTCCTTCATCCTGCTGGCATAGACTTTCTGGCTTCCACCGCTGACCCTTGGGTCTTCCCAGCACGGATCCGTAAGAGACTGGTGTGAGTCCTTCTTGTGGGCTCTGGAGCTCTAGTTGGACTTGTGGGAGGCATTGTCCTGAGCTCTGGGTTTTTATCTGGACTCATGTGGGACATTGCTGTGGGATTTAGGCTCTTGACTAAATATTCTATGTCTTTGGCGTGGCAGATAGATTTCCTGCATTTTCCTGTGTTAACTCCCGGTGACCATTACAAAAATAATATTATAAACTCCATGCCTTGATCCTAATTGTTCTCTGTATACAACCCCTGACTACAACAAACACCCATTTTTAGTTTTCTAAAAATCCTTTGCAAAGGCTCAGAGTGACACGGAGCTGCCTTTAAAACTCCAATGTGTGTTGCTTCTCTGAGGGAGCCCTGCCAGGAGAGCTCAGAGGACACAGAGACCTGTGTGTCCCACTCTCCGGACACCTGGAAGCTCTAAGAGGCAGCCTTCCGGGGACGCCCAGCCCCAACAGGCTGACCTGACCCAGTGCCCTCTAACTGAACTATGTACCGGCACCCCACACATGTCCTTTTTTTCCCTTTTTTTCTTTTGATTTTTTGAGACAGGTTCTCACTGTGTAGCCCAGGCAGGCCTTAAAACCACAGAAATTCTCCTGTCTCAACCTCCTGAAGGAAGGCTGGGATTACAAACTTGCTCCACGACACCCAGCCTAACCCTGCCTTACCCTGCCTTCTTGAACTCAAATGGTGTCTTAAGCACTGGCCTAGGGAAGGAGGAGGGGCCTGGCCAATCCTAGCATGATCTGAATAGCAGGAGTCAGAGGCCAGCTCAGAGATCCACCCCAGACACCGGTTTCCAGCTCATGCTCCGCAATCAGACTTGTCTGCTTCCAAACAAGATGCGTGGTCGAACGGCCTTGCCTTCTGCCTTCTGCTGGGGACTGGAGCACAGCACACCTGAGTCTGGAGACTCTCAGGCCACAGGTGCCCCACAGCCAGCTCCAGAGCCTGTTTCCGAGTCACTTGGGAAACCCTGCTGACGGGAACAGGCCTTCACCCAGCCACCAACCCTGGCCACGACACTACCCAGGCCCTGGCAAGGTCCAGGTTACCAGGCGCTCAAGGTCAAGGGCTGCTTTCTGAAAACCGCAATCTTCAGAACAGTGACCACAGAGGGGTTCACCGGTGTGAGAATTTCTACACTGCACCCCCTGTCTGATATGATTTTTTTTGTCAACAGGAAAGTTTAAAAAAAAAAAAAAAAAAAGAGCCAACCTTCAACAATAACCTCCCTTCCAGTCTAACCCCGCAGTCTGATTAGGCTTGGCTGCTACCCCCATGCCAGGAGAACCAGTTTGCCCAGACCTAAGGTGATTACCCAGTCACTTGTGGCAGGGTCGATGAACTCTTGCAGAACTCTTGCAGAAATGCAGCTCTGGGCCATCTTGGGGGAGTGGGGCAGATGACCAAGTCTCCTGTCTCCTTTGCTGAGCTGTGTAAGGGACAGAGACTTCTTCATTGGGTTACAGATTCAGCCACTAAGCACTGAGCCTAACAAGCGCGCACACAGGACTAGGGGTGGGTGGATCCTTTTAAGCACAGGTTTGTTGGCTGCTTAAGGGTGGTCTCCATCCATCTGCGACTGTATCCACCAAGTAAGGCTAGACAGGCCCTCCACGGCTTTGTGCCCTGGCCACCTGCTGCTCAGGAGTCACTGTGCCCCCTCCCAGGGCTGCGGTTTCTGTTACCACCTCCTGTGAGACCTGAATGGGGAGCAGGACTTGCCAATCTAACCTGCCAAATGCATCCCATGTGATTCCCAGAATCTGCAGTTTCTCAAGGGCCCTTTTTTCACTTAAGGCAGGATTCAGGAATCCACCAGTCACTAAGCACCTGCCAGCACTAAGCACTGGGCACCTGCCTGACTTAGCTGCCAGATGCTAGGGGTGCAAAAATTAGTATGACCTGGGACCCCAATGAGCTTGAAAGGCTGAAAAGTCCTTCATAAACAAGAGCTGTTGTTCCTGTCAGGCATGCAACACAATGTTTTCCACTTCTACTCTGTGTCCAAAGCACTGAGATGAATCCACTTGTAGGAAGCTGATCGCAATTTATTGAAGACTTAAAGTAAGCTAGGAACCGCACAGATGCTTGGTTTGATCTCGTTTACTTGTTAGAATTATTTTACCAATAAAGAAGTTGAGAAAGCAGAGCGTACAAGTAATTGGCCCAAGAATGTACAGATAGTAGCAGAGCAGGACTCTTGAATTTCCTGCTGAACCACCCTGTCTGTCCTGCAGCAGGAGATGAATCATGCGATGGGGAGCCTGATGGCGGAGCAAGGGACATCACTTCCTGCTCCCTCTTTCTTGAGGCCCCCAGCAAACCCCGTGAGCTTGGATCTCTCTGTCACAGCTGAGGTAGAAGGGTTACAAGTGTCCGAGGGAGAACTGAGGACCTGGCGTTGCCACGCCTGACCTGCCCTGCACTCACGGTTATGCTGAGTTCTGAGCTCACCTGGTCAGCTGAAGAGACTGCCCACCATCTGATCACCGTTACGGAACGGGCCCCCTTTGTACCAGCCGGTAAGAAATCTCTTGGCATTCCAGCCCAGTTAGTACTTTTCCTCTCTGAGTTGTTTATACATTCATTGAAATAATCTCTATTTATTCTTTCAGATGTGGCAAGCAACCAGCCGTATAATTTATCATTTTTACCCATTACCCATAAAGTGAAAACTTTGAACAATTCTTGCCTGGCACAGCGGAACCTACCTCAGGGAAGCCAAGCTGGCTCACTTATCTTGTGTTACTGAGGGCACTCCGTTTGGGTTCCCATTTAGCCCTCAGTTCTAGACATTCTGGGAGGAAATCTGTAGTCACAAGATTGCTCAGGCTTAAGGCAGGGTGCTGAATGGATCTTCCCATTTGCAGAGTCTACCCGGTTATGCAGCCAAATATCTGACTTCTCCATATTTGGCCACCACTGAATAGTGTATATGTTTTTTTTTTTGTTTGTTTGTTTTTTTTTTTTTTTTTGGCACTCGCATAAGTAATACTTTTTATACTGCAAGTCTCATTTAAAACTTTTCTACCATGAAACAGCAAATGCGTTCCTGCATTCCGTTTAGGTGCCTCTAGAAGTCTTTAAATATTTATCCAAAGGTCAAACAAGCTCTGGAATTAAGTGGAATCAGTCATTAGCAAAGTGAAGAGAGACCTGTTTCTCCCAGCACTCGTTCCTTCCCTTTTCGGGACCGACAGAAGGAACATGACTCTGGTGACAGCTGGAGGACAGAGATAACAGAATCATAAAAGCCCAGGCTGCTTCCCTGTCCCTCACACTACCCTTCCAGGTCACGATTTCCAAAATGAAAAGGGTGAGCCAGCCGCGCCAGGCTTCTGCCCAAGAGTCCTAAACTTTGCCCAGCTTTTGCTGACACCTGAAGCCCAAGCAGCCAGCCAAGTGGCTCTTCCTAGGAGACCTGCAGCCCCGGAACACACGCCTGCCATCTGTTTGCCCAAGGACTGCTGAGACTGCTTCCCCAGGGACCTTTCTGGGTGAGCACCCTGCGCGTTTTGGCTGGGGGGTTCTCAGTCAGTGTCCTCAGTGCCCCGAGTCCCGCCTGCAAGCATAGCTTCCCTACCTCCCCCTGACTGGGGAATCTTCGCGGCTCCAGATGTTAACTCACGGCCTTTCACTGCCCAGAGCAGTCGTCCTGACCCTTTGTCACTTCCTCTCAGAAGCTGGCACTTCCTAAATTTTTGTCATTTAATTCATGTATTCAGACAACTACACTTTCATGGGGTCCTACTATGTCAAGCACTGTACGAGCATGAAGTACACCCCGAAGAAGAAGCAGCCGTGGCGTCTCCTCCTGCCGTGGAGCTGAGGATTCATCTCCTCCCACTTGTTACCCTTCCCAGACTGTCGCTGCCCTTCTCCGAGGCTTCCATTGCCACCTGTCTCCAAGGGCTTCTGCTTTCCTGAGTTAACCTGGAAACCTGTCCAACTGGGCCAGCACCTGAGAGGCATTGTGACTTAGAGCCGAGTCCATATCCACGTAAAGAGGCGGTTTGATACAGAACCTTGACTCCACCCAGAGCGCCTGCGCGCTGCAGGCACTGGGTCCTGTCCCAGATGAGGTCACCACGGTGGGAACCCCCACCACGCCCCTGCCCTTGCTGCCTCTTTCCACGTGGAAAATATTCTTCCCTTCTGTCTCCAAAGCACTGCCAAAGCCAGGTCAGAAAACCTAGCAAGGCTTAATTAAAAGTTTCAAAAGGATAGAGCTGATGATCTAGCAAGTGTAACCTGTGGTTGGGTATGGTTTCCCCGCTAGTCTTGATAGCACTCCTGGGATCTAGCAAGGCGTCACCTTCCCTCCCCTCTCCACACACCATTGCTCCCCAGAAGCACACAGCAAGTGAACTCTCTTTCCCTGCTACTTAAAGTCCACTTTATAATACTACATATGGTTCTAGTCTAGGGCTCATTTCTCAGGAAGATTATTGGTGTGATGCAATCTCCTCCATTCAGGGTGACTGCTCACACCCACCTTTCTGTGTGACCTGAACAGACACACCAGTCTAATGCTGCACAGAAAATATACAGATTATGGTACAGATGGTGATTGAGGATGGAGACCATTTGCAAAGATATTCAGCATTCAATATGTATAAAACCAAACTCAATATGTCTTTCCAGTGCCCTTTGCCCAGATCTGCATGCTTCTTTAATCTTCTTTTGAGTGGCATAAAAGTCATGCAGGCCAGAGTGCCAGCAGTCACCATGGTGTGTCCCCCACTCAAATTTTCATGCCCTCTGTCTCCTAAATGTCCTTTGAGTCTGCTCCATCCCCTCATGTCCAAACCTTGGTCTGGGCTGTCCACCTCTATTCAGTCAGGGCAAAGGCCCCCCCACTGATCTTCCTGCCTCCCCCAAAACATCCCATGCCTGCAAGTCAGGACGATCCTTCTCAAATTATAATCCCAGTACAGATACAGGATCATTGCCGGGACCCAGACTGCCTGCACGTGAATCTGTAGGACTTTTGTGACTGTGAGCTACTATCTTACCTGCCCTGTGTCCCCATCTCTTTATCAGCAAAATGAGGAGGATAAACCTACCCAAGAGTTTCAGCCAGTTTTGATTAGCTGCTCCCCAAGTAGCTTCCAATTACCTACCCCACTCCACCCCAGTATCCTGCCTGTGCATAATCTCTTCCACTGAGTGTGATTGGACCCAAATGCTTGCATCTAATAAATAGAATTCAGCAAAAGTAAGAGGATATCACTCTTTGATTATAAAAGAGTGTTATAAAAGACAGGGGCTTCCATGGCACCCAGCTCCCTCTGGCCCCTATTCCGTGCTGAAGAAGCCAGCTGCCATGGTAGGAGCTGCCCTCTGGAGACATCCACATGGCCTCAGCCAACCCGGAGCTGACTCCTGCCAGCAGCCATGTCAGGTCCTTCCCAGGGACCCTGAGGTGAAACCAACCCAACCAGCCCTCAGCGGCAGCATGGTGAGAAACCCTGAGCCAGAAGATTGGCTCAACTGAGCCTGAATTCCGGGGATCACAGGTGTGTGCCGCCACACCCCGCTCCATCACTAGGATTATCACTGCTGTGTGGCACACTAATGGACTGAAAATTCTAGAGGCAAGAGATGGTGCCTGTGTGTCTGCTGCATCTTCCTGGTAGACTGGGGCCTGAGAGTCTTCTAGTCAGGAATAAACACTGATGACCAAACAGCAGGCTGGTCTCCAACTCCCAATGATCCTCCTGCCTCAGCCTCCTGAGTGCTGGGATTACAGATGTGCAATACCACTCACGGCCTAATTTTTCTTGACTGAAGAACTGCATGCCAGAGGGGACAAAAGTAGAAAGTAGCTCTCACCCCAAAGAGAGGAGGCTCCACAGTAATAAAAGAAACTACACACATCATCAATGTGTCAGTGGTCCGTTTGTCCACCCCTTCGCTCCCCTAAGAGTTCTTCGATCCACACATCACCCATTTAAGACTTAGCTCAAATGCCTCCTCCCCAACATGTCAGGAAAACGAGGCATTTCTGCCTTGGGCACCTGCCTCCCCTCTCCGTGGCAGGGTCCTGGCTGAGGCCTTCCCTGCTGGTGCCTCCCACCAGGCTGTGACCTGGCTCCGGAGGGCAAGGATTGGAACTCACGGCCTCCATATTCCCCTCTCATCAGGGCCGATGGAGTAGGCGCTGATGCCAAGGGAGTTCAGGGCACTGCCGCATTCTGGGTTCAGGGAGGGCAGAAATAGGCCTCTAGAAGGGCACTGAACCCCTTTGTACAAGAATGTGGGAAAGAGAAGTCATGAGTTTATCCCAGAAGGGAAACTGCATTCTCCTGGGATGAGAAAGGTGTGCAGAGCACGCCAGACGCCTGGAGAACTGAACCTCCTTTAATATGGAAGCCGCCTCCCGTGTGTTGACAGAGACCCCCAAAGTGGCTGCATCAGCGTCACTGTAGAACTGCTTCTCCAGTCCAAGCCCAGACCTGCCAGAAACTCTGGGGCTGGACTCACATTCTGTGTTTTAACCAGCCCTCCATATGATTCTGATCACACTTAGGTTAAAAAAAAACCCTTCGAAGTCCACCAAAACACATGTGGAAAAGACTTCAGAAATACAATCCAGACTGACTCTGAAGTAAGATTAAAAAGGAACCCAGAGCGCTGCCACTTACTGTGAAACCCCCAGGATCAAGGACATGCCCACCATTTTCCATGAAACAGTTCAACAGGCAATTAAATGAACTCAACACATTTATTTTAAATGTGTAAAATGAATTTTCGTATCGCAAGAGTAACACCAGATGTTTCACCTCTTTTTCCTAATTGATTTTCCAGTCCACAGCAATTTGCCTATACGTTCCAGTTACATCCCAGTGCAGCAAGAAGAGAGTTCCGGTAGGATTATTAAATGCCATGCATTTTAAAAGGAGCATAACTCGGGCTGTGTGTGCCATCCGGGTAGCTGTCTCCCCAGAATATAAGGAACAGACAGCTCTAGACACCAGCAGATTGGAGTCAGGAAGAAACCCAGAGAGGGCCCTTTGAAGAGATCCTGTCTCCAGGCCTTGGCTGGCAGCAGCCTCGAGGCCCGGGCACTTGGCCCAAGCCTGAGCTCTTCCTGCTGGAGTCCTGCACGCCCTGGTACTAAGGGATTTGCTAGCTCTGAGCCCTGCAAGTAAAAGCTGTTTTCAAGGAGCAGCTTAGTCTCTAAAGGGAAAAAGAAGTGAAGGGAACCAAAGGGCAGGGAAGGATGAGGTAGCCCAGCCCTTCACAGACAATCCCCCTCGGTCAGCAGCCAGGCACGGGCCCAGCTGGGGGCCAGGCCTGTTAATACATGTCTAAGTGGGGGAAAGGTCGCCTTCAACCAGGTTTTCTTCACTCACAAAAGTTCTTCGGGGTGGAGAAGACAGGCAAATAGAAGGCTCAGCTTTGAAGCACGGGACTTCAAAGGAGACCTCCTCTGTCATGGGCCCTGGTTAAGGACGAGGGGAGGGGGGCCACTGAGTGCTAGAAACCCAGAAAGTGCAGATTCATTCATAAGACAAAAACCACACTTCTGGGGCAGGTGAGAGAGGCTTGTACTCCTTTCCCTAGAAGCTTCTGGGAGCCAGCAAGTGAACCGACCACCTGCAGCTGGTTTAATGTGGTTGCCAGGTACATAGCAGCCTGTCTAGGCCTGAGGACCACTCAGGAGACTGCGTGAATCTCTAAACAGGCTCTAAACAGGATCGCTCTAGTTTTTAAATAACTACCACTTAGAGCAGCCACAGTACTGTCCTGTAAGATCCTCCCACATTCAGATGAAAAGTTAATAAAACAATCAGCTTTTTATTTGCGTTCTCCCACTTCTTCCAATCAGCAGCTCCAGTCCCAAAGATAACCACCTGCATCTCAGAGTCAGTGTCTAACCCACCCAGGAATGGATCTGCCTAACAAGGCATCGTCAAATTTAAGATGAAACCCCTAGAAGAGACTTAAATAGTGTTTCTAAGACAGACGAAATACAACCAAGATCTTGGCTTTACCTAATTGGACTGAGTCCCCAATAATTAGAGCTAAGGTTTTTTTGCTCTGAGTGTCCGAATTACCCATTTATCTTCCCCCAGGAATGTGGCAAGACCACCTTGTCTCCAACAGTCACCTGACCCTCGACGCCCAGTTCCAAGCTCGTATTTGCCATAGGAGAAATTTGGATGCTGCCAAGAAAAGGCATCACCTAGAATTTTTCCCTTTTCCCAAACTCATGTTTTTTCAGTTATAGACCACAGGAGCCATGTATAAATGTCATCATCATAGTCTTTTAATATTTTACATAAAAAACTGTATACACAGCTTATAGAACTTTTATGTAAACATCATAAGCTCATCACTTTGTCATTTGTCAGTTTATTTAAAAAATAAAAAAAACAAGACAACAATTTAGTAGAAGTACCACTGGGCTGGGAGAGGGGGAGGATAAAGGAAGCGGGGAGGTCTACTCTCTGAACTAAGATGCAGAGAAAATTTTACAGAGCTGTAGAGACTGCCTTGTGAAAAAAGTTTTAAATAGACCCCAATACTTGTTACCTTCCTTTACCCAGAGGACAATAAAAATTCACAAAACAGTGTTGTCCCTTTTTTTTTTTTTTTTCAAGAAAACAAAGCAAAAATCAGTGGGTTTTTCCCCTTTGTTTTAAAAGTCATCATTAAAAAAAAACATCAGAAGTAGATGAGGTTACAGCATACAAGTGTGGTCAGAATGCGACTGTCTTATGCAAATGACAAGCGCATTAAGTGTCAGACAATGAAACAATTGTGCAAAGAATTCTTTCAACAACAAAAAGTTTTTAGCCTTTAAATAAATCAAGGAACAGTTTCTTAGACCCAACAATTTCCACTTGTAGGACAGGCACGGAAGTTCGCTATGGCAAAAATCAACCCGGCAGCGCCTGCAGGCCACAGGCAAGTGAGGGGTTCGCTGGGGGCTGCTCCCGGGAGCGCGTCCTCAGCCCCAGGGGTCGGAAAGACAGCCAAGTCCGGTTCATGCTTGGATGGGCGCCTGATCCACCCCGGGCCGGGGCTTCTGTGGCGCTCTGCTCACTCCCATCGCCACCACCATTAAACACCACCATCTTACCTCCGAAAATAAAATTATATCTATATTTATGTAACACCCTCCCCTCCTCCCCAGCCCTCCCTCCCGCAGTTCCCTGGGTCTATGTTACAGGCAGGGGACAGCACACGCTCGCTGGTTACAGGCGACATCGGATGGGGCGCGGATGGGGCGCGGCTACGCGTCGGCACCCCTCGCGCCCCTGGGACCAGCGGCGGAGGTGGGGTAAAAACAAATGAGCGGGGGAGTCGAACGCACACGCGGCCACACACTCGAGGCCTGGCTCTTCAGAAAGGATGCTCGGGAACCCCTTGGCACTCGGTGGGTCGCCCGGGCCTGTGCAGCACAGCCGGACGCAGACTCAGGGAAGGGGGCGCCCGACGCCCACGCCAGTCCACCGTGCAACAGCAGATCGCGGCCTGGGCCGCCCACAGACGCCAGGCAGTGCGGTGGGGCCCCAGGGTGTGACTCTCCCCTACCCCGGGCTCGCGGGGGCAGGGCAGGCGGGCAGGCGCGGCCTCATAGCACTTTGCAGCAGTTGATGCAGCCGTTCTGGGAGCCGTAGCGCTTCTGCAGCGCGGCGCGCGTGGCCGTCTCGAAGACCTCGCGCACGCCCTCCTTGGTCTTGGCCGAGCACTCGAGGTAGTCGTAGGCCTGGATGCGCACGGCCATGGCGCGGCCGTCGTCCGTGCGCACGGGCTCCTGCTTCATGCGCGCCAGCTCGGTGCGGACGTGCTCGTCGCTGCGCAGGTCCTTCTTGTTAGCCACCAGGATGATGGGCACGTTGGGGCAGAAGTGCTTCACCTCGGGCACCCACTTCTCGGGGATGTTCTCCAGCGAGTCCGGGCTGTCCACCGAGAAGCACATGAGGATGACGTCGGTGTCGGGGTAGGAGAGTGGCCGCAGGCGGTCATAGTCCTCCTGGCCCGCCGTGTCCCACAGCGCCAGCTCCACCTGCTTGCCGTCCACCTCGATGTCGGCCACATAGTTCTCGAAGACAGTGGGCACGTACACCTCAGGGAACTCGTCCTTGCTGAACACGATCAGCAGGCACGTCTTGCCGCACGCGCCGTCGCCCACCACCACCAGCTTCTTGCGGATGGCCGCCATGGAGCCGCGGGCCCCGGCTCGCCGCTCCGCGATCGCTCGCTCGCTGGCTCTGGCGGGGGTCGCTAGCTGCGCCCGGGCCCCGCGGCGGCGCGCTGGGACGCTGCGCTTGGGATGCCGCGGCGGGGGCGCGGGGGCATAGGGCGCGCCAAGCAGCGGCCACGCAGCCCTGGGGGTGGCCGCTCCCCGCGCGCGGCTTTGTGCACAAGCGGCTCGCGCCGCGGACTCGGCCTCGCTCTGTGCCGGCCGCGCTGGGCCTCTCGTGTAGGAGCGCCGCCGACGCCTGGCGGACTGCGGTGGCAGATGCGGGCTGCGGCCCTAGCGCCCGCTATTTAAAGAATCCGGCCACTTTCTTAATATAGCCGCCCAATGGGAAGCCAGCCGGCTGAGCTCATCTCTGCGGATCTCGGCTCCCATTGGCCGCCCGCCGCGGCCCGGGGGCGGGGCCCGCGAGCGTGATTGACGGCGCAGGCCGCCGGGCTGGGAGCGGCGGCGGCAGCTGCGGAGTCTGCGCGGCGGCCGGGCCTGCGGGGCCGTGTCGCCACCCAGGTCCCCGCCTTCGCGGCGGCTCCGGCGCGCCGGGCCGGCGATCTGGTTGCCTGGAGCCCGCGGGGTCTGGGCGGGCGCCTGCGGCGCGGGCGGGGCTCTGTGGGCGTCGGCGCCTCCCTCCTCCCCCGCAGGGCGGCGCGGCCGGGCCTGCGCGGGAGGGGCGGCCCCTCGCGGGGCTGTTTTCAAGTAAGCAGCCGCACAAGCGCACTTTTGTTTCCAGGCCACAAGGCTTCCTTCTTTCTTTTCCTCCTGGGTGCTGGTGCCCACCCGGTACTCGGTTCTGACCTAAAGGCAGCTCAGACTTTGAACCCGTGCAGTGAGGGCGGACTGTGGAGTGGGTGGGCCTGGTCGCCCCCCAGCTCAGGCCTGCTGCTCGCCGCCGCGTGGCCCCCACTCAGGCCGGGGTTTGAGGGAAGCGGCCAGGGTGGCCGGTTCTGCCTCACGAAGTCTGATCCTGGTCTTTAAATCAGAGAACTGCCTGCGGCAGAGAACCAGAGGGCCTGTGCGGCGCGCGGGCTGAGACAAAAGGAGCGCGGTGCGGGGGTGGGGTGGGGACACGAGGCCAGGTGGTAGGTGCTAGACCTCCGGCCCACAGAGACCCTTCAGGGCTTACCTAGTCCGTCCCGGTGCCCTGCAGGAGGCTCGGCAGCAACCTCTGGCTTACAACCTAGGGCAGCCCCTTGCAGTGGTCAGAAGAGACGGGCAGGGGAGGAGCGGGGAAGGAGGGACAAAGCGGAAAGGTGGGAAGAGCTGGACCTAGGGTGAGCAGGGAACGTCTTGGCGGGGCTGCCGGATGGAGGCTTTAAAATGCCTACTAAGCAGGAAGCTACATCCGGGGTAGGAGACTTGAGATATTTCCCAGTTTGAAAAAGCAAGAGAGAGCTGCACCACTCATGCCTAGGCCATTGCCTCCCATCTTCGTGTTGCTTTCTGGACCGAGTTATTGAGGAGAGGCAGCGTTTTGTCTCCTCTCAGCGTCTAGAAGACCCAGCATAATATTTAGAGCTCTTTGCAAGAATTTGGTAAGTGGCAGGTGTGTTGGCTCTTGCCTGTAACCGAAGGACTGGGGAGGCTGAGCCAGGAGGACCGCTGGAGCCCAGTTTGGGGTCAGCCTGGGCAACATGACAAGACCTTGTCTCAGAAATAAATAAGCAAGCCAATGACTGAGGAGAGTGAACCCAAATGCTCAGTACTCTTCGGTGCTTCCTAAGGGTGCCTGTCCTCAGCCCCGGGTTCTACTTAGCACCCAGCCACCTAACCCACACAGCCAAAAATCCGATCTCATGTAAAATTCGTGTGCCAAGATGGAAACACCAGGCTGGCGGGTGGAGCTGCCCAGGGGCAGCAGACCACCGGCACCAGCTCCCTCTGAGCCCCAGCTTCTTGTTCTGTTCTGTTTCTGTTCCGCAGACCAAAGGATAATTTTGTTTAAGTCACCGTTTAGGTTTCAATCTGAATCTTTTTTTTTTTTTAAGTTAGTCTCCTAGAAAAATCTTATCTTCACCTATTTTTCTTCCTTTTGTCAAAACTTTTTATGACTGCATTGTTCAGACTGCTTCCTTGATCTTAATATAGCTTGAGAACCTTGGCTGCATCCTTAAGCTTCTAAAATTAAGAAAATTTAGAACAATTAAAGCTTTGCACCATGTGTTGAAAAAAAAAAACCTTAAAGAATCAGGATAAAGGATTAAATGTACTCCCTTCCTGATTGCTAGACATGTTATAAAAGATGTTCCAAGTTTGAGTCTCTAGGTCAAAATAACTGCTAAAAATATAGTTGATAAATATGCCAAAATAAACAAATAGAAAAACTTGAATTCTGTGGCAACTTCTTTTCACAATACTCATTTTTTGTTCAGGATACTTTGACAGCCCTGTGGGACTGGCTGCCTCCAAGACCATGACACTGAGGATAAACTTTTCCAAACAGGGTGGCTTATTTGACAATCCCCTCCCTCCCTCACCCTCCACAGTGTGCTTTTCCTGCAAGGCAGCAAGGAAATTCAGTTCTGCAGTTCATTTTAATAATTCACTGTATGAACGTAGATTCAATGTGTAACAGGCAACATTCACATCAGGGAGAGAAATTATCTCTCAAAAGAAGAGAGAGAAATCTGTGCCCCGAGGTCAACTGGATTTGCCCTTTGTTTTTTGCTTTTTTTCCTGGTATTTCCTATAAATTACTCCCCACTCCTCCAAGACCAGAAATTGACATTTTCACTAGATTTTAGTGCCCCCTTGTGGCAACCTCTGTGGGTTCTTTTTCTTGAAAAATTATGGTAAAAAATTAGCTTGAAACAAGTGCTTTTTAATCATTTTTATTTTACAATCTTGCACAGGATTTTGAAAACATAATTATAGAGTCCCTAAAAATTCATATATACACATAATCTCACTAATTTACAAGCCAATGTGCTTTATTCCCTCTAATCATAATTACACAAATGTAAAACTTTAACCTCCAAGTCATCTGATTGTTTCCAAGTTAAGAAAGCCACTGTTAGGTACTCTGATATGGTCCGAAGTAAAAATTAGGTTCCTGGGAAATCTCCTGGGAACCAACAGTGTAGTATTAGTCATTCCTTGAAGCCATTTAGTCATTAATTTTTGTTTGTTTGTTTTCTGATGTAAAGAGTAGCTAATGTCTCTAAGAAAAACTTAGGGCTTCCATCTGGCTGCAGTGAGCTTTAAAAGTGGAAAGGTTTTCCTAGAACTGGCCGTCCTGTTTCATCTGGAGGAGCCTAGTCGTACAGCTGTGGAATCTAGCTCTCTGGGGTTTACAGCTGAGAGTGACAAGGGTGAAAATACCCTTGGTGGGGGGGGCTGCTGTGATCGTCAGGGGAAGGAGGAGGCAGCACCCACCTCACTTATTACACTGCGGATGCGCACAAGGACCCCCAGCTGACCTCCGTGCTTCCCCAGGAACAGGAACAGACCGGTGCTGTGCCAGGAACAGCCAGGAACAGCCAGGAACAGACCGGGCCTGCTCACTGTAAAGCAGGGGTTGCACGTCAGCCGCTGATCACAGAAGGCTGTGCCGTGCTGAAAACGTCACGAGGGACGCAGAGGAACTGGGTTTCTAATGTTATTTGATTTTAATTAGTTTTGAAAACTGATGTTCAATTCAGTTATTGGCAAACATACGTGTGTTTCAAACAACTTACATTTTTAGCTGGAAATTTTATGAAATCTAAATATAGATCATTTTATGAAAATTTAGCAACCAGAGATACGCTGTAACCATCAAATAAACATCAGAATTCAGAGACTTAGATGGAAAAGCATGCAAAATAGTTCACTGACGGTTTTTACATTGATTACAAGTCCAAATGGTAAGATTCTGAATCTAGTGGCTAGCTTCTTAAATGTGTTAGGTACATTTGGATATTGGTCGCAAATTATTTTCACATTTTTATATTTTTGTCTGGTTGGGTTTTTTTGAAACAGGCTCTCACTATGTAATTCAGGCTGGTCTTGAACTCACTGTGTATCCGGGCTGGGCTCAAACTCACAGCAATCCTCCTGCCTCAGCCTCCCAAGTGCAGGGGATTAGAAATGTGCACCACCACGCCCAGCTCCTTTTTACACTTTTAACGTGAGAACTAGAACATGTCAAAGCACACCCGGGCTTCATGTTATGTGTTCATTGGTCAGCACTGCTCCAGAATGCCCCTGGCTTGTCCTCCAGAAGCCCACACCTCAGGAGAGTCGCCCCAGGGCGCCCTCGGGAGTGTGCTGGTCTTCCCATCTCTGCCTGTGGGATTTCCTTTTGTCTTAAACTCACCGCTAGACTCCACTAGGCTCAGACCCCTGGAGGAACGAAGCCTGGGGAAGTTCAGACTCTGGCCTCCTCCCACTTCCCCTCCAGCCCTACCCCTGGGCCAGCTCTTACCCCAACACTAGGCAGCGTGGCCCTGCACAGAAGAGGCTGCGCTGCAGACTTTTGTGCAGACTTGGAGACTTGATCTATTTTCCTTTTTTAAAAAAATCAAAACCTAGGTCTCCCTCCAATTTTTGTAACAAAGTGGTGGCTATTGATTCTACTCAGGAAGTATCACGAGAGCCTCAGTGCTCTCTGCTCAGTTGAGTGAGCAGGGTTGAGGGAGAGAGCAGGGAAACAAAGGCACGCTGCCCGGGTGAACTCGAGAGCAGATGTGCACGCTGCCGGCTGCGGTGAGGCTGTGACCCGAGGACGACGCAGCTGCACGCCTGAGGTGGCGGCTCAGCGGGAGCTTCAGTAGCAAGCAGAACCTTTCTAGAAGACAGACCCGCTCGTCCCGTCTGGAACAGCTCCTGTGTGGGTTAAGGTTCCAACGGGCCACTCGATGGGAAGAAAGAAGTGGCCATAGGTAGACGCCCAAAAGTGCAAGAGGCTTTGCACTGGGGTTTGCCAGGTGACAGCACCAGGTGACGTTTGCCCAGAGGAATGGGAGGGCAGAGAGAAAGGGAGGTCAGGCCCACTCACGGTTACGTAAGTGCTGCCACTTACAAAATCCACCCCAGCGAAGGCTTGCCAGCTCCAGGGCATATGCAGAAATCACGTGTACATTTATTAAGTCAGCCAGAGCGCAGGGAGGCGGGGTGTGAGGCTCAGGCTGGGGCCAGAGGAGCCGCTGTCCAGCCTTCCCACCTCCTAGGTCCGTGGTCTCGAGCAAATCACCCTGTCCGGGCTCGGTTTCCCCACTGGTTAAATGAGAGGCAGAATCAGCGTCACAGAGGCCCGCAGGTGCGTGACCTTGTAAGACGTTAGGTAGTGGCAGCGCCTGCAAGGACATGGAGATTGCGCCATCCTCATGAGCCATTGGAGGTCAGGACTTGAAAAGAAGCCGCCGTACTGTCCAGCACCAGCGCAGAGGGGCGGCTGCATTTGGCCTGCAGCCCTTGAGCCGGGTGGATTTCATTTCAGTGGACTAGGGGAGAATTTACCTGTTGAAAATAATACTCCGCTCTTCCTGTAAAATGGAAAACATCTTTCTATTTAGTTTTACTATTCAAGCTGTTCTTCTATGTGAGTTGCTTACACTAAGATCTGAGGATTGAGTGGAGAAGGGGCGACCCAGGGAAGGTCCAGCGGCTGTGGGGAGCCGGTCAGCACCCCGGTGGCCTGTCTAGTGGGGCCGCAAGCTGAGGTTTCTCTCTCCCTTTTTTAGCCTTCCAAGCCAATGATCTAATCAGAATGCTTACCCCACGGATCGTTTACTTCCATTTCCCGTATGATGTCAGAATTTTGCAATAGGGAGGAGCCCATCCACAGTGGATTTCCATACGGTCACACTTACCACTGAACTGCATCTGTGGCTATTTATAGAACAAGACAGAGCCTCTATTATGAAACAAAGCTCAGAAACCAGGAGCGTGGGGAGCAGAGGACACATTCTTGGGGAGCGCCTTGGTTCTGGCCCAGGCACACCTGGCTGCGGAGCATTCCTAGGCCAGAAGAAGTGCTCTTCCTAAGAACATGGTCCAGCCCGGCCTAACCAGAGAGACAGCACACCTCCCTGGACAGCTCTGAAGAGACTGCTTCATCTGGAGTGGGTGCGGGCTTCTGAGCTAGCTGCTCAGCTTGGTCACAAGGAGTAAGACAGACCTGCTGCATTCCTAGCTTGGAGATCTCGGTGCTCACCGGCACATTCTCTCCTGCACCGCTTCAGGCCTTCATTCTTTGCGCTGATGTTTGTTAGGTGCTTCCTGCCTGCCAGGGGCCTCCCTCTAGGTCCTCACTGGCCAGCCTGAGAGAAGTTAAGAATAGAGCATGCTTACCTCGCCACAGCCAGATGGAACTTTTTTTCCATCTGGTGGTACTTAGGACTGAACTCAGGACTTTGACTCTATCTACATCCCCACCCTTTGTCATCCTGAGACAGGGCGTCACTAAGTTCCCCCAGGTGGGGGAACTTGGGACCCTCCTACCTCAGTCTCCCAGAGTGCTGGAATCCAGGTGTGCTCACCATGCCCAGAGGAACTACATGGCACAGGGACAGGCCCGAACCTGGCAGGGACCCTGATTGTTGCTTTCATTGTGTCACTCACCCTGCAAATGCACTCTGGGCCAGGCGTGAGCACAGGGAGGCCCCGGCCAGCACAGCGGGTAGTTGGTCCAGTGTGGCTAGTGCTGCGGTGGCTGAGCCCGGTCCTGGCCCAAAGAGGCTGAGGAGCACAAGTGGTGAACTACACGCAGTGGTCCCAGTGAAGGATACCCGCAGGGTTCCCCTGCTTGCAGTCTCCTCCTGGGATGGCTGAGCTGGACCCCGGCACTGGCTATGTCACCAGGCCATCAACATGACATGGGTGATACACACCGCGGCTTGGTGAGGACTTGTAAACTGGGACTTGCCCTCTGGAGTAGTTTTTCCTAGCAACTAGCTGCCATTCTTTCCGAGTATCAACCAGCCCTGTGGAGAAGCTTGCACAGAAGGAAACTGCACCCCAGCCGTTTGCCTCGGCTAAGCTCGAGTTTGTGGCCACCTGCCCTGCTCCTGTGTGGGAGGGTCCATCAGAACCTTCACCCACACGGCTTGGCCAACCCGAGGGAGGGAGGACTGTCTGACACAACTTCCAAAATTATTACTGTCTCAAGCCACTGTGGTTTGGTGTGGCTTGTTCCATGGAACGGGCAACCCAACCACCTGAGCCTGAATGGTTGCCTAGGAGTTAGCCAGGACAGGAGGAAAGAAGGAGGGCATTCCAGACGTGGAGACGGGGCGGCACAGCATACTCAGGTGTGTGGTAGGTAGGTATGGGGCAATGCAGGACTGAGAGGCTGGCCAGGTCCAGATCTGAGCATCTGATGGTGTCAGGGGCTTGCGAGACCACTCCAAGTTTTGATGGCCATGGGGAGGACTGACAGGACCAAATAGGTGTGTTTTGTTACAGCGGAAAAACTCCAGCACAGACTCATTAAAGGCAAAGCTTCGTGGGACCAATCTGGAAAGAGCCAGATGCAAGAGAAACTGCTCTTCCCGAGACTCCAGTGAGAGTCCTCTCCCGATGGGGCGCAAGGACACCGTTCTCCGCCAGTGTTGCCAGCGTTTCACTTGCAGCAATGCATGTGAACTGCTGCCAGGCAAGGAAGCACTCAGCAGACTCGGTGCCCCTGACTCTTACTGGGGACTGGTGGCTAGCCCTGCGTTTGCACTTAGCTAGGCTGTAATGCCCAAATGTTTGGTCAAAACCCAATCTAAATATTGTCGTGGGTTTCTGTTATTTTTGTTTTGTTTTATTTTTTCCCAGATGTGACTACTTAAATCATTAGGCTTGGTGTAAAGCAAATTACCCCCTATACTGTGGGTAGGCCTTGTCTGATCAGTTAATGGCCTGAAGAGCTGTTAAGAGTACGGTGGTGCCACAGAGAAGCAAAAAGTACAAAATGAACAGGTTTACTGAGTTGAAGATGTGGGAAGAAGCACACAACCCATGTGGCTGGGCTGTCTCCTTCGACCAGACACAGAGAGGCAGAGGGTTCTATGACCTCGGATCGGGAGTGGTGCACGGGGCAGATATTATGAAGTGTGAGGAACCAGTTAGAATTCTATGTGCACAAAAACAGGAAGGGGAGATGCAATTAGGCCTGAGGAAGAAGCAGGAAGTGGTAGGCTTCATGCTTTGGCCTCCGCCATGTAGACCACCGCCATAACAGTACAGTAATTTATACTAGGGCAAGAACCTTTCAGAGCAAAGATTGAGGTTCTCCTAAAAAGAAGTGGGGATTCTTCTCGAGACTGCAACGTAGAACCCTGGCCTGCCATTCTGCAGGATCTGATCTCTAAGCTGCAAGGACAGTTCTGAATTTGCAGCTTGCCAGTCTGCCCTCCTGATCTTTACCGAAAGCCTGCTCCAGCCTCATCACGGTCTGGAGGGGGTTGTGTTTGTAATCATAGGGAAAAGTTACTGGAATTCTCATAAGTAATTGCAATCTACCAATCACTGCAACTCAGGGATCGAATAAAGAGACAAAGACATCCCTGCAGTTGTGGGGAGCCAAGGGGTCCTAAGACCAGTGGGCGTGGTGGCCAACTGGAAAGAAGGTCCCTGGCCGAAGCCAAGCCGGGTTTTATTGGTTTGTGAAGAGGGAGTGGTCTGAGGTTGAGTGTGAGAGTGGCAGGAAGCCCAGGAGGGCTCAGTAGGAGGCACACAGCAGTTCTGCAATCTGCGAGAGAGGAATACAGAAGTAGTTACCGGATTCTGGCAGCAGATAGCCCCTAAGTGTGGAGGAATCTGCATAACTCAGTTCGAGGAAGTAGCTTGTGTTTTCAGTTGGTTATCTCAGCTTTGATATCTGGCCCTTTTGCTCCGAGATCCAGCCTCAGTCTCAGCTGACAGTGGGGGTCTCTCAGCCTAGCTCAGGCTCGGTGGTAGGGGCCTACCAGCAGGGCAGCACTGACCTGTTGCATTGCTTCAAAGGATACAGATCAGCACCTCCCCTAGACCCATTTGCATTACGTGAAGCCAGTTGACTGGGTAAAGGATTAACCTAGCCAGCTCTGTACACAGCAATACACAGAGTTAGGGCAGAGTTAGCCAAAATGGGCTTCTGCCACTCAGAGTTCTGTCTGCGGACCAGTCTGTGGCGCCCAGCCCCTTGTGTTCCCAGCCTCTCTCCTCTGAATATGCTCACATGTCCAGGGCATATGCGTATAAGAATGTCTGGTTGTTTTGCGTGTTTTTAATTGCTACATGAATAGTGTCACACTGTATATAACTTCTGCAACTTGGTGTTTTTGCAATGACCATTATTTTGGGATTTAATTAACACATTGAAAAGTTTTTGCCCTAGTGTAAATTACTGTACAATCATGGCGGTGGTCTAACGTGGTGGAGGCCAGAGCGGAATGTTGACCACTTCCTGCTTCTTCCTCAGCCCTAATAGCATCTCTCCTTCCTGTTTGCACGCACAGAGAATTCCAATCGGCTCCTCTCACATCATCAATATCTGCCCCATGTGCCACTTCAATCAGAGGTCATAGAATCCTCTGCCACTCTGTATCCAGTCAAGGGAGCCAGCCCAGCCGCCACGGGTTGTATGCTCCTTTCCTCGTCCTCAGTTCAGTAAACCTGCTCATTCTGTACTCTTCGCTTCTCTATTGCAGCAGGGTATGCAGACACACATGTAGGGCTTGCTGCTTCATTTTAGTTCTGTAGGATTCCACTTGGTTAAATTCCTATCTTTTTCCTGTTGCTAAACATCTGCGATTTTACAAGGAATTTTTTTTTTTTTTTGGTGATATTGTTTTGCTCTTAACCTCCTGTGTTCCTAAAATTCATTCTTCGATTTTAGAGAACTTGAACTTGTACCTCACATAGTAGGTCAGGAGTTTCATTCCCCTGTATCAATATAATGTTGCACTGAGGCTGGAGAGTGGGACATGATGTGTCAGTTAGATAATCCACTGCGGCTTCTCAGTCACCAAGAGCTGTCAAGTCACATCCAGGATGCGCGCAAAAAGCAGCTTCAAGCCCTGAGTGGGATGGCCCAGATCGGATGTAAAAAAAGATCTAAAAACTGATCTTGTGGCCACCGCTTTCTCATTTTTGCAGTGGCCTGCTCTGCATGCGGGGGTGCATGTTCTTGGTTTCTCCCCAACACGATGCCTTGATCATTTCTTTAGCACTTTTTTCCCCTTATTTTACTGTCTATATACAATTAAACTTTTGCACTTCTGGGCTGTCCCGTCCAGTTCTTTGACCAAGGTAACAGGAGCCTGGAAGGGACCCTGGGCACCTCACTGTGTGGTGACGCAATCACCAGCACAGTGATTGGAGAAGCCACTACAGGTCCCCATCACGAGCTTCTGTGACTGTGGCACAGGATGGAGCTCTGTACCGGAACGAATCCTGGGCTGACTTCGTGTTTGGAAGCGGCGGGCAGCACAGGAGTTGAGGTGAACACAGCGGGGTCTGCCTTCAGCCTCCGCCCCGGGGAGCCTCACGTCTCAGGCGAGCAGAGGCGGCCACCTCCAGACTCCATCACAGCCGCACACACAGTTCTTGCTGAGAACCGTGACTCTGTCTGCTTTGGATCTATGGCAGAAACCGCAGTAATTTGGAGGATTCTGATGAGTCACCATGAGTATGGCAGCGAGGAAATCGGGAAGAAAGGGATGCTGCGGAGAGAAGGAGGAAGCCAGGAGAACCGACGCTCCGCCCGCCTTCTGGGGACCAGCACTCAGAAGGGCCCCTTTCCCACTCCTGGCAACTTCTCCACTGGTCTCCCCTAGGCTCTCTTCTGTGACTAGCTTTGGCTGGAGAGTTGCTGGACAGGGAGGACGGGGCGGGTCTCACGCTCACGTCTGGAAGCCAGTGCTGGCCTTTCTCCTCCACGGGCTGATCAGCTCTCTTAGGCAGCGCTCTTGTATTCCCAGAGTGCAAGAGGTGCTACCAGGACTTTTGAGGGACAGGGCACCAGGGCACAGATCTCAACTAACATCACTTCCAGTAAACTATTGTCTCTGTCTCTGTCTCTGTCTCTGTCTCTCTCTCTCTCTTTCCAGTACCAGGGATTAAACCCAGGGCCTTTGCACTAAGCGACATTCCTGGCTCCTTATTTTGTTTTTATTTTGAGGCAAGTTCTCTGTAACTTGTTCAGGTTAGGCTCAAACTTGCATCCCTCATACTCAGACTCCTGGACTGCTGGGATTGCAGGCATGTGCCACCACATCTGTGTCCACCATGCCCCAATTCTGCTGGCCAAAGCAGGTCACAAGGTTAGTTCAGCTGAAGAGGAAATAGCAGAAGAGTCTCCTGGCTGGAAGAAGAATAAAAAACCAGCTGTAAAGAAGCAGGGGATGGATCGCTTCAGCCACTTTTGAAAACAATTTCCCACGATTGAGCAATTTGGGAAGTGATGGAACTTTACCATTCACCCCTGAAATTTCAGCTAGAGTCGTTTGTACAATTTCCAAGAGGGGGCAAGATAATATGCTGGGTACCAGCCTGACTTCCCTGTTAGAAATGGTCACAGAAAGACGGATGTTACATTATCGGTAACTACTGGTTCTTTTCTTAGTATGTGGAATCTACCTTCAACTTCTGTGAATGCCTTTAAACAACTGTTTTCACAGCAACCAGTATGTAAACTCTATCGTGCTAGGTGCCAGAGGGCCAGCAGTGCATGTTATAAGTATGGTTCCTATTGTCTTGCTGATTTCATCCAGGGAGGGAGAGAAGAATTAAGCAATTAATTATACAGTTGAAGATTTCATGGCAAGGCTGTTGCTATGGTACCCCCAAAGCCTCACATGCTCGTAGGTAAGGGACTGGATCATGGCTGTGTGTGTTGGATGTGTGGAACTGGATGAGTTCACGGGCTGGTTTATCACACAGTTCTGGGTGTGGGTGATGGATTTCTGAAGATGGATTTACGGAGTCTAGGTGGCATCAACTACTGTAATCCAAATATTGTAACCCTCCCCCATCCTCCTGCATCCAGGAAGATTATGTTTGTAAACTCATTGAAAAGGTATTGGAATCCTGACGAGTTAATTCCAATCTACCATCTCCAGGGCCACCCATGGTGAGAATAAGACCCTAAGACATATTTATAGTTATGGGCAGCCAAAGCATCCTACATCCAGTCTGGGTGAGGATTCAGGAACAAAAGGCCTGATCCAGGGCCTCTCCCAGAACTTGTGAAGTCATGAAGACAGAAGTGGCTCAAGGGTGGGTGACAGTGAGGATGGTGGCAATTGCTTGAGAGGCGAGCTGGGCTTAGCTAGGGGACCAGAAAGCAGCTCTGCAATATGCAGAGACGGGAAGGCAGAGCGAGCAGCCTGTATAACTCAGCTGGGGTAGCGTTTAAATGTTAGGAAGTTATTACTTCAGCTTCTGATATATGAACTTCTCTGCCCTGGGAGCTCGTGGCCGCTCATCTTGAGGCTGAAACCCACTTGACATACCTGGAAATATGCGTCTCTGCCGACCTGCTGTGCTCAACCATTTATAGGGAAAATGGCCCATTGGCTTCAAAGATCACACAGTGGCACCTCAGTTAGTCCTGTTTACATTGCTCAGAGCCAGTGGGAGAGAGAAAAGCAGCTGAGCCAGCCCTGTGCACATCACTGCATGGAGGCCTGGTTGGTTTAACTGATGCTGAAGCAATTGTCCGGCACTCAGTGAGAGCTGTCAAGCCGTCTTCTGCAGCCAGCCAATAGGCTTGTAGCCAGGATAGAATAAAAAAAGAAAAGCAGGTCTAGGGGCTGGGGATTTAGCTCAGCAGCATAAGCGCCTGCCTTGCAAGGAGGCAGTCATGAGTTCGATCCCTGGTACCCATAAAAACGAAAAAGACCAAAAAAAAAAAAAAAAAAAAGGAAAAAGAAAGAAAAGAAAAGCAGGTCTAACTGCTTCCTGCCTGCCGTGTGGCGGGCTGTCTCTCCTCCACGTGTCCCTCTGCCCTGGAACCAGCCAACAGTGAACTGAAACCTCTATAAACTGTGAGACAAAACAAACCTTTTCTCCTTTAACTTGTGAGTGTTGGGCACCTGGTCCCAGCAATGGGAAAGAAACCAAGACAGCTGTTACACAGCAGAGAGGAAGGGAGGCACGCGCAGAGGAAATCTTAGTGCGGCTGTGATTTGGAGCTGGCCTCCAGGGACACTCGGCAATGAAGGTGTGAGCTGTCCTCTGAGGAACGAGTGGGCACTTTGCAGGCTGAGGGAGTGGGCTGAAAGGAAAGGCAGAACACGGAGTGTTCAGGTGGAAAACACAGCAGCATGCACTGAGGGCCCAGAACAGAGAGCCTGCGTGTGTGAGGTGTGGGAAGCAAGAAACGTGGGGAGACGGGACCAGGGAACCGCCAGGAGTGCTTGTGCGGGGAGTGTCAGCCACGCGGAAGATTCTGTTCTGTCCTGTCCTGAGAGTGACAGCAGACTGAACTGGGCCCCTCGGAACTCAGACGCTGAGCCCTGGCTGCCTAATACATGACTGTATTAGGAGATGGGTCCTGGGAGGTGATTACGGCCGAGGGTGGGGCCCTAACGCAGTGGGACTGGTGTTACTGAGAAGGAGGAGGAGGTACCAGGAAAGCACCTGTGCAGGGAAAGGCCACGGGAGGACACCAAGAGACAGCAGCCAACCACAAGCCAGAGGGAGGCCTCCCCAGAGCCGGCACTGGGGCACCTCGAACTCCCAGGGCTGCTGGGAGAATGAGTTTCTGTTGTTTAAGCTGCTCTGTCAGTGTATTTTGTCACTAGCTCTTGGAGACAATACAGTGTAAGATCCTGAGATTTGTGTCCTAAAAAATCATTCTGGTTTTTGGGTGGGAGATGGATGAGGCGATGCTGTGGGAGAGAGTGGCCTGCAGCAGGCCAGTGGCCGTGGGGATGGGGAGATGGGATTGTGACGGCTTTGTGGGAGCCAGGGACAGACCTGGGACTCGCTGAGGAGTGCTGGGCATTTTACACGGCGAAACAGGGGTCCTTAGAAAGACTTGAATAGCAACACCAGGTCCTATTCAAGGAAGCAGGAGGATCAGGTCCACACCACATGTGCCAAGGGGAAGGGGCGTGGCAGTGCACACCTGTGATCCCAGCACTCAGGAGGCTGGGGCAGAGGACTGCTGGGAGTCCAAGACCAGCCTGAACTCCTAGCTGCAGTGAGACACAATCCCAAAAGCCAAAACCCAACCAAATAAAAACCTAAGTAACAAAAATCCGCATTGCTTTATGAAGGTGAGAGATTGGATGAAAGCAGTACAGAAATGGGGCGGGGGAAGCCACCGTGTCCTGGGCAGCACGCGGCTGCCGTCCGCCAGGTCGCGGCCACATGCGGAGTGAGCCCATGGCTAGGCTGGTGGGCTCAGACGGGGTGACAGAAACTTTTAGGAACAAAATACCTGGCACAGAGGAGAACAGAGTGCCGTAGTGAGAGCCCCAGCAGATTAAAAGCCAGCCCCAGCTGCATGACTGGAGGATGCTCCGGTGTCCCAACGCTGCCTGATGAAGCCTGGCCAGCCCCTAGCACGTAGAGGAGCATGGTGTGGCCAGGGAAGCCTGGAGACCGTGTCTGCCTTCATCTGTCACTCACACACTCACGCAAGCTATACAGAGAAGCACGTTTTCATCGCCCGCTTATATACTGGTCACACCAAATTGGGTGCTCAATGAAACTTGATGAGAAAACTCAGTTAAGGGCTTCAGGCTTCCTCAGCCAACACCGATGTTCACTGTTAGAGCTGCACGTCTCACTCAGCCTCTAGTGAGCAGCAGAGGCACCGGCAGGGTTTGCTCGGATGCAGGTTGCTGGTTCTAGCCCAGAGCTTCCGACCCAGTCGGTCCGACGAGGGCCCAAGAAAATGCATTTGCCATAAGGCCCAGGGAACTGCATTAGTCAGCGTTCCCGAGAAACAGAACCAATAGGGTGTGTGTATCATAAGGAAGTGACTCACATGATCGTGGAGGCCGACCAGACCCAAGATCTGCAGTCATCAAGACACACAGGAAGGCTGCTGGCTTGTTCCAGTCCAAAAGCCAGCAGACTTAAGACTTGGGGAGAGCCAACGCTTTAGCCCAAGTCTGACAGCAGAGGGAAGACAGCTGTCGTGTGGCTTGGAAGCAGCCGGACAGCAGAGGATCAGCTTTTGTCCTTGGGGCCACCCACACTGGAAAGCCATCTGCTTCTCTCAGTCGGCAGATTCAAATTTTAATCTCAGCCCCAAACACACTCATGGCTACCCCATGACCAGATACCTGGGGATCCTGTGCCCACACAGGCTAACCCAGTTCGACCCACCCCAGACACGGCTGCCCCAGGGTGTGCACAGAGGCAGGCTACTGCAGGGCGACTCCTCTTGCTTTTCTGGTGGGACAAATCCTTCCCTTCCCTCCTCCTGCACCATTTACACCCGAAAGCAGCCGTGCGTGACCCCACACCATGGCTGGAAGGTTGTGAGGTGCAGGGAGTCCTTGGCCGGAATCCTGTGTCACCTGTCATGGGGTCACCTCCCCTCCCTGGACTTCAGGATTTGCAGATAAAATACAAAATACACTGACACACAGAAAATTATTCATCATTTATCTGAAATTCAAATTTAACACATATTATCTTATGTGTGCATGTACCTATATATGTGTTCCCTACTTGGAACTCTGGCATCTTTTTGGGGAAATGAGACATCTCTGAACTTGCAGTCATAAGATCAGACAAGCTGTACCCACAGGGCAGACCATAGAACTACTAATTGATATTTTGTAAATAGCTATACTTATTACTGAAAGCAATATACCAATTCATTGCAACCTCCATCTAAATTCCAGTGACACTCTGCACAGAACTAGAAAAAAGACCCTGCAATTCATACAGAAGAATAAGTAGCCAAGGCAATCCTGAGCAAAACAAGGCTGGAGGCGTCAGGATGCCAAATTTTAGTTACTACTAAGCCGCAGTAGCTGGCATGGAAACAGAGGGGAGTCCAGGGGACTAGAGGAGGGGACACAGGACGAATCTCACGCAACCGTGACCATCTGATCCTTGACAGAGAGCACGGAAGCGCACACTGGAGAGAAGACGGCCCCCCTGACAGCTGGTACTGGGGAACTGGATACCCACATTCAGACAGGGAAACGAGATACCTATCTCTTACCCAGTATAAACAGCAGTCAAAAATGGATCAAAGAACCAGGACTGAAAACTTCAAAACCGCTAGAAGAAAGCAGAGGTCACTCAAAGTCACGGGCACAGCCAAAGACTTCCTGAGTCGGATTCCAACAGCATAGGAAACCAGCAAAACTCCAGAGATGGGACGCCATCAGATGAAAACCTTCTGCACAGCAGAGGAAATCATTAACATGAAGAGACAGAATGGAAGGAATCCTGTGCCAGCTATTCTGCCAACAGAGACTTCATATTAAAGTATACAAAGAATGCAAAAATCCTAACCTAAGAACTCCCACCAATCACCCCTCATAAATAGCCAAAGGGACTGAACGGACTCTTCTCAAAAGGAGAAGTGCAGAGCTGGCGGGGAGGCTCACACGGTGATACCAGCACCCGAGAGGCTGAGGCAGGAGAACCACAAGCTTGAGTCCAGTCTGGACAGCTGAGGAGGGATTTGGTGCGAACGTCTGAAAAAATATTCTAAAGAGGGGTGGGATGTGGTTCTCAGTGTAAAGGCCCTAAGTTCAGTCCCACTTCTGGGGGCGGCAGTGGTTAACATCTTTAAGTCATTCGGGAAATGCAACTCAAAACTGCAGAAATTTCCTGCCACCAGAGTGGCGATCATGAAGAATATAAACAGTAAAAACTGCTGCTGTGGAAGTGACCATAAAGGACTCTCTACCCTGCCGGGGATGTAAGTGAACACAGGCTCAGCGGAAATCAGGATAGAGGTGCCTCAAAGTGCTAAAAGTAGGGAAACCGCTAGATCCAAACCGCCCAGATGCCCCTCAACGGATGAATGGGTGAAGGAGACGTGTATGCCCATGGGGGAATATTACTGGGCCATAAAGAAAGAAGAACGGAATCACGTCATCTATAGGAAATGGAGTGTTCATACGAAGCAAAGTTAGCCCAGAAGGTCACATGTTGCTTGTTTTCTCTCATGTAGAATCTGAAAGATTTTTTAAAAAGAAGACTGGAAGGTATCAAGAGAGGAGAATACTGGAAAAAAGGAAAGGATGCGGGAAGGGGCAACGGAGGGGTGAAAATAATCGAAGCAGGCCATGTGCCTGTGTGCGCTACCGTGAGACCCCTGCCTCTGGGTAACTACCACCGAATTTTACAAAGAGAAGGAAGGGCCACTTTCAGCACGGGCCAGGCAAGGAGGAGGGCCAAGGCGGAGCGTGGGGCGCAGGGAACCGGTGGTGCAGCGGGAACCCCAGGACCGGGGCCCCTGCTCGAGCCTGTGTCCCCTCTGGCGGCTCTGCTCCCTTCGGGCTGCACAACGCAGCGGGGACCTGAGCAGGGGCTGGGGCTCTCAGCTCAGCGTGAGATGCCAGGCGGGTGCGGTGCAGGGAGCTCCCGAGTCCAGGGCGCCAGGTCCTCTCGGAGCTCAGGGTGCATCCAGGGCTGGACACTGACCTCAGGCCTGGCCGGCTGCCCCGAGTGGGGCGGGATCCGCCCTGGCCTGCGTCTCTCTCTAGGGCTCCCACTGCGCAGGCCGCGTTGGGTGGAGGACGCAGCCAGGACACAGCACGGCCACTGCGCGCACCCGGCCTCCAACGGCCCCCCAGGACCTGGGGCCCAGCAAGGCTGAGGCACTAGGCGCAGGGGACTGACCCAGGGCTCTGGACATCTAGGCATTGCTCGTGACCTCGTGCTTGCCAGGCAGGCACCGCGCCGCTGAACTGTATCCCCCGCTCTGTAATTTTAGTTTTTTTAAGAACCATTTCCAAACCGATTTCCAGAGTGGTTGCACTAGCTTACACTCCCACACAGGGAGAGGGGGCTGCTTTCCTCCCACAGGCCCGCCAGCGTTTGTTATTTGATTCTTGATGACAGCCAGTCTTTCCCAGTGAGAGAGACTCTCAGCACTGGTTTAATTTGCATTTCTTTAATGAGCAACAATGTTGAACGCTTTTTCCTGTACTTACTGGCCTTTTTGTACTTAATGGGTGCATCTAGAGACCATAAGGTTGAGTGAAATAAATCAGATACGCAAACTTAAATATCGTGTGATTCCCTTCTATGAGATACCGGACGTGTAAGCGCTGACCACTGTAAAGGACCCCCGTGATACAGGGATACAGGGAATGAAACCCCGACCTGCTCTATGTCCGGGATGAGTTCCTGCTCTCTAAAATCAAAGAGTGAATTTTAGGAACAACGGAGGTTAAGAGCAGAAATACTTATTGAGCGAAAGAAAGCTAACATCTGAGAGAGACGGAAGGGTCCGAGTGGGTTGCCAGGGTCTGTCTTTTCTAGGGGTTCTGGCAGTAAAGCCATGAGGTGAGCCGGGTCTGAAGTTGGGGAGAACCGGAGCTCACAAGGCAGAGGGGCTTGAGGTGAGACAAAGCTATGTTTAGCCAGTAAGATTAATAGCTCAGGTAAAATTGATTAAATTGGGAACAAAGGGGGAAGCAAGTCACATAAAAGGAGACATTTTCGCAGTGACTCTCCCTATAGGGGCCTGGGACGTGACTCCTGCCTCTCAAGGTGATCCAGACCTAATCCCTAAGGATTACACTGCAGGGTGTGGCTGCATTTGTTTTGCCCTCTGTCTGGAGATCTGACCCACAGCAGGAGGTGTCTGTCCCCTCCAAGGTCACCAGACATCTGGTCCTCTGTGCCGGCTTCTTTGAGGGCCCAGCCCTGCTGACGGCCTATAATATTTCTAACTGGCTCAGCTGCCTGTAACACTAGGAAGGAAGGAGACAGAGCTTTCTCCAAGGGAAGGGGATTAGGAGATGAAGGGGGACGGAAAGAGGATGACGGGAAGGAGGATGTGTTACCTGTGTGCCCAGCTCTCCGCCATGAACGGCGTCACCCTGTACTGCAAAGCTGGAGTAAGAAATATAAACACTGAAGAAACAGTGTCTGGATCAAAACCTAAACTCTGCCCCCAAAACAGAGGTCTCCTAAGGGAGTATGTTCACAGGTGGTTTACTAATGCATGCATTTATTCACTTACTTATTTATTTTAAAGACAGGTCTCACTGCACAGTTGAGGCTGGCCTCAAACTCATTGTGGAGCCCAGGCTGGCCTCAAATTTGTGGCAATCCTGCCTCAGCCTCCTGAGTTCTGGGATTACAGGTGTGCACCACCATGTCCAGCACAAAGTACTATTTTTTACTCAGTTTACTTGGCATTTAGGCTCCCGCAAGCTTTATGTACACTCCCAATACCCCTCGTCATAGGATAGATTCTAAAGTTAGTTAAAAGGTATTTTTTTTAAGTTATGAGAGTCTTCATTTCATAAAAAATGCTTCTACTCAGTATTTTAATAAATGGAACAGTCAATAGTGATTTAAGTGTGTCAGTGTTCTGCTGGGTGTGATTGCACACACCTGTGATCCCAGCACTCTGGAGGCTGATGCAGGCAGCTCACTCTGAGTTCAAGGTCAGCCTATACTACACAGCAAGACCTGGCATCAAAAACAAACAAGCAAAGTGATAGGCCCTCACACAAAGCATCAGTGTTCTGTAGGTTAATCAGTAGTCAACAAACCTACGGTCTGTCTCAGAGACTATATAGTTTAAGTGAATTTCACATATTTAAAACACGAATGGGAAAATTTATAGGAAAAAATCATGGCAAACACTAATTCCAGAGGAAGCCCAGAACTTAAGGTGAACACGATGGGTCAGGAAGATCCCTTTCCTGTCACCAAAATGGGGCCTGCAGCTCTGTTTATAATAAACTGGAAGCTGAGCATGGTAGCACCCCTGTAATCCCAGCACCCTAGGAGGCTGAGGCAGGAGAACTGCGTGTTCAAACCCACCTTGCACAATTCAGTGACTTGGTGAGATCCTTCTCAGAAAACTGAAAAAAGGACTGAGGATGTAGCTCAGTACAAAGTCTCTCGGTTCAGTAAAACCACGTAAGTGGAGACAAGCGAATGTTCAGAAGAACAGGTCAGTGACTGCAGGAGTGATTTAAAAGGCCTGTGCTGGTAATGGTTAATTGTAGGCATCAACTTCCTGGACTAAGGAAGCCTAGGAATTTGGAAGAGCACAGCTTGGTGGTGCCTGTGAGGGTGATTCCAAAGAAGTCTGAAAGCGGGGCTGGGGATTTAGCTCAGTGGCATAAGCACCTCCCTTACAAGCAGGCGGTCATGAGTTCGATCCACGGTACCGATTAAAAAAAAAAAAAAAAAAGAAGTCTAAAAGGGATGAGATGGGGAAGACCGGCTTCCATCCAGGCAGGCACTGTCCCCTCAGAGAATGAATATGACAGGACTTGGACGGACTGCCTGCCTGCCCTCCCGCAGTGGGCCACGCTGACCCTCAGGCAGCACTCAGGCAGCAGGGGCCTGGATCCGGCCCTCACACGCCAGGATGCCCCGAGAGCCCCCTCCCTGGGTTCTCTGGGTTCTTCAGCTTCGAGCCACCACACACAGGTGACACCATTGGCTTCCCCAGTTCTCAGAGCCCTCGGGCTTGGTCTGAGCAATGCTGCTGGCACCCCAGGATCTGCAGCTTGCAGGCATGCAGTCCGTCCAAGGATGTCTCGGCTGCCATAACTGCAAACCAATTCTCCAATAGGCCCCCATAATTAACTGTACACATATTGCATTGATTCAGTCCCTCTAGAGCACCCCGACTGATACAACCTGACATAAAAGGTGGCATATGAGAAGCCTCCCCAGGTAAATTATTAAGCGTTTCTTAGATGCGTCCCTGTCTAGTTAGAAGGGGAGGCTGTGTTCAGCTCACTCCCCGGGGCCTCCGTCTGCTGGTTCCCTCTGTGCATCTCCTTCCTCACACACTCTCGGCCCCAGGGCTGGCCTGGGTCACTTCTTCTTCAGCCCAAGAAAGAACAAAGAGCTAAAGTCCTCTGGAGACCAAGTTCTTCCACGTGTATGCGCAGGTCCAGTCTCTGCTCCCAGCTGTCAGATAAGATGGTGCCTGTGGGAAGGAAAGCAGAGGGGAAGGCAGGGAAGTCTGTGGAGCAGGACGCAGAGGACAGGCGAGGCTCCGCACGTGACAGGAGATGAGCTCCTGGGGCAGCTCCTGCACCACCGGCTCCGCTGTCCACCGACACCAGCCAGGGGCCCGCAGCCCTGCCCCGTCCTGACGCTCTCCACCAGCCTGAGCCCAGCCTCACCAGAAGGGCTCTGTCACTCAGCCCCCATGGCAGATGCCACTTGCAAGACCTCGGCCTCTGCTCCTTTGGACTAAGTGGGTACACATTGGGGTCCTCTGGATGTCCTCCTCATGCTTCACGAACTGCTATAATGCTCAGGAAAACACTCGTGCATACTGGTTTATCAGAAAGGGTACAGAGGGACGCTGGACGCAGAGGGTCACTGGACGCAGTGCAGGAGCGTGCCTTGTACTTTCCTGACATGCAGCTTCCTGGCCCTGTGCAGGCTGAGAAGCTCTCCAAGCCCTCCACATAGGGCTCCCATGGAGCACCCATCAGGGAGGTACTCGTCTTTGGTGATTTAAAAATTTTTAATTAGCACATGTTTGCATCCATGAGGTTGACATGTATGTTGGGGAACCGGAATCGCCATCCTTTCCACCCCTCTTTACCCTCCTGTTTCCCCTCCTCCCTCCATCTCTAGGCCCCTTTCCCATCTGCAGAAGCTCTGTCTCCCTGTCTCTCTATTTCCTGTCATCGATCTTTCATTTTGCTCTTTATTTATACTTTGGGTTTCTCCTATAACAAATGACAGGTGACATTTAAGCTTGTGTGTCTGATTTATTTCACTACTACGGTCTCAAGGTGCCTCCATTTACCTAAAAACGACTCGAGTTTATCATTCTTTATGGCAAAGTAGTACTCCACTGAGTATAAACACCACGTTTTGATTATCCATTCATCGGTTGATGGACACAGGCTGCTCCCCAGGTTCAGCTATTATGTGTTGTGCTGCTGTAAACATGGGCATGCATGTGTCATGTGGTATGATGTTTCTAATGCTTTTGGGAAGACAGCTAGAAGCTGAGTAGCTGGGTTACTTGAGGCATCTCCACAACAATTTCCATAGTGTTGTAGCAGTGCACGGCCCTGTCAGCAGCCCCCAGCTTCGCCAGCACTTGTTATTGTTGGCCTTTTTGGTGATAGCCGTTCTTTCAGGAATAAGAAGGAACCTCAATTCTGTTTTAACTGTCATTGCTGTGATGGCCAGAGGCGTCGAATGTTTGTTAATTAAACTCCATCTACAATCCTTTCTACCACGAAGGTCAGGGAGGTCCCATCCCTGGGTGACACGGTTGGGTCTCCTGGTAAACAGCTCCTCCCCCAGTCACTGCATTAACATATACTCTAGTGTGGAGGAAAGGGTTTTTATGGGCTAAAAGGATTCCTCTAAATTTTATCACTGAGAAAGTGACAAGGGTTTTAGAAGCTCTGTGGTCACAACTAGAGGCAGAGACCAAAAACATGCTTCTTACTACATGACAGTATCACAAAAGTCACTTCTGCTTACAGTACATTCCTATCTGGATTTGCTGGGTATGTCACGCTCACCCAGCCTTCCTCTCTGCCATTCCCACCGGCCAACAGAAGCAGAGGGAAATAAATGGTCCTTGGAGTGTCGGCCTAGACTTACTACATTTCACCTCACTGATGGAACAGGTCATGGCTAACTCCACGGGAACCAGCAAATCCAACCCTGCCATGTGTTCAGAAGAAAGTTAGCAACACACGGTGACCAGCACTAATAACTGCCCCTGAAGGGAACTCAGACCCCGGGTCTGGGGATGACGGCAAGAAAGGAAACTGACTTCCCCTTCTCAGGTGGAGCTGAGCAGGTCATGATGTCCCCTAGGAGCAGGGCGGAGATGCACTCTGCACCGCGGCTCACCTGTCTGTATACAGCCTGTCCCAGAAGGAAGCGAATCCTCGGCCTCTATGCTGGAGAGTGTGGGGAAAGTTTAACTTTTACTCCATACACTTTGCAATGTTGAAAAACTTAACCATGATGTTAATTCGTGTGGATGGATCTGTAAGACCAAGGTCCTTACTCTGTTTAGAAAAAGACGGTATAATCGACCAAAGGAAAGCCAAGAAATCGAGCACGCGTGACTGAGAATAACCAGACTTCACCCAAAACCAGCATGTAGATGCCAACAGGCCACAGCCAGGATGAGCAAACACCTCTCTGCTGCCAACAGCTGCCCCAGGAATCTCCTGGCATCAATTGCTTCTCTAAAGGGAGCAGAGAGGACACCAGGTCCTTGTCCTCAAACTCAGAATGTTTTTTCTTGTACAAAGGCTGAGTGTGCTCTGTATGTCACATCTGGCTTCACAGAAGAGCAATAACCAGAGAGATCACGACCCTGGACCTGAGCAAGAACGTCCCACAAACTGACTCCCTCAAAAGTCTCAGGTTCTCATCGGCACTGTCCTGGGCCGATGAGGGAAGCTGAGGCAGGATAGGGCTCGGGGTAGGTGTCCTGGGTAACAGCAAGGGATGGGAAGCTGCCGTACAGAGCCTTCCTGAGGTCTGTCCTTCCCTGCCTTAGCAGGACTGGGAACCAACAGTCAGTGGGTTTGGGGAAGGACAGGAGGACTGAGTCACAAAATGAGACCTCACTGAGACAGGGGACACTGATCCGGCCTGCAGATCAACAAGTTCAGAACTCCTGGAGGAGAAACGGGGATTAAACAAAAGACATGGGGGAGACAAAAAGAGACGAAGGCAAGTTGATGTTAACCCAATCAAGCCTCCGGTTTATTGAGAAAATAATCACACCTTTTATAGGCTAAGGGCGGGAGCTGGGACAGGAAGAGGTTAAACAGATGAATACAACAGGGTTACCATCACATCCGGATAAGTGACGTAAGCAGAAGAGGATTATGGTTAATGTAGGCAGACGCAGTGCCCATAGGAGAGAGAGAGAGAGACATCTAGGCAGCAATGCCTGTCACTCGGCTCCCTACATCTCCTCCCTTTTTATATTATTTAATTAAGAGTATGGCAGGCCCTGTGAGGACAGCGTCTGTCTTAGGTCAAGGACCTCATTGCATGAACCCAACCAGGCCTTACCCGTCATGGGCTTGCAGAACAGCAGTTGGTCCTGTGCCTGTCTTAGGTGGCCGTTGGAATTAACATGCATGTCCTAGTTGCCCGTCTCTGACTGCCTGTCCATTGCCCCAGGGCAGTCAGGCCGCATCATCATATGGGCCACTCGTGGGAATTCCTTCCCTGTAGGTTTGTTGATCTGTCATCTCCAGCTGATGGTAGTGTACCTGAATGGGCTTTGCCATAAATGCGTCTATCCGGTTATTAATGAACATCATAATCCTCTGAAAAATACAAGACTCACAGAAATGAGAAACAATAGGTCAGCTAGGGGACCCAAAAGTGGGACTAGGTAAGGGAAAAACTCCCCCCCCCCAAATCAAGGAGAAGGGGTTGGCAGCCATTTGTTGGTGTCTCTGTATGAAGTCATTCTCCTGTGTCTTGGAGCATGCCTTGTATAACACTGGATGCAGTCTATTTGGCTGGCGTATGTTCCTCCAGACCGAGAAGAGCCTCTTCCGCAGTCATGGGGTTCTGTGCATGGCTGTCAGCAGTTGCAGTCTGTTTGGCAGGGGTCAAAATCCACCATGGGTGTGGTGTGGCTCAAGAAGGCTGGTTAAGCAGCATAAGGCTCCAGGGAGATGTGTCACCTGTAAGAGAACACAGGGGATTGTGCCTCAGGAAATAACATTATTCCTGGGCGTTACATGGGGTCTTTGAAGAACTGTCTACTTGCTTTACGAGGCGTTTAGGTAGCCATCTAGCTTTTCTATCTTGTTGAGAGTAAACACACACTGAACCGCGTCCCCAGATAAGGACTGGGTCGGGGCCATTCCACACATTGGTTAGTGGGTCTCTCCATAAAACAGACGCAAACCGTGTTTGAATTTGAGAATGCCAAAATCGAGATGCTGTGGAGCAGCCTGAAGCATCCAGGGTCAGAAAATTTAAAATAAAAAGAGCATGTGAAAGGACATTTCTAGGGGACCCCTGGGTGGGGTACCATGTCTCCCTTTTTATTTTATCTATGGTGAATTTAAGAGAACGATGAGCACGTTCAACAATGCCTTGTCCCTGAGGGTTATAAGGTATACTGTTGGGAGCCGCAGCCCCGAGCCCGGTCGCCTCACTTGGCGGACGTGAGGCCTGTAGTAAAGAGTGAAGCCTGAGGTAGATTGCCCCTCCCATCAAATATGTTAGTTTCCTGCTTACCGCGTAAACAACCCGCTCAACAATATAGTCTGCCTGGCAACTGATGATGTTAGCCAATCAGCTTGCCTTGCTTACTTTAACATGATTGGACACTGTACCCGTATATATACCGGTGCCACCCCTGGGCGGAAGAAGAAGCCAGGTAGAAGCCCGGAAGTAGAAGCCCAGAAGGAGCCGCGGAGAGCGGACCGGTAGAGGCTTCGGAGCGAAGCCCGGAAGGAGCCGCGGGGAGCGGACCAGAGGAGGCTTCGGCTGGGAGCGATCCCAGGGCAGGCTGTACGGAGAAGGAAAATAAAAAGAAAAGGTTGTCCACTACCAGACTTTGTCGTGTGTCCTTCCTGCCGGCCGGGAGCGGACATCGACAGTATACCTGTAGTGTGAAGGATATTAAGGCTTTTACAAAATTGAGCAAAGGAGGTGCTGGTATAGCCAGGGCCATTATCGGTCTTGAGCTGTTGAGGACATCCCAGAACTGAGAAGGCTGACAGCATATGGGCTATAATGTGTTTAGCAGCTTCTCCAGTCTGGAGAGTGGCAAAAATGAAGCCACTATAAGTGTCAATAATGATATGTACATATTTTAGATTGCCAAACTCATTGAAATGGGTAACATCCATTTGCCATAAGGCGTTAGGAATTAAACCTCTAGGGTTGACTCCTAGGTGTTGAACAGGTAAGTGGATAGCACAAGATGGGCAATTTTTTACAATTTGTCTGGCTTGCTCACGGGTAATTTTGTAGAGAAGGCGGAGGGTGTGAGCATTGAGGTGGTGTAGCTGATGGGCTTGTTGGGCCTCAGACACCTTGGAGTCCTGAGCCATAAAAACCTGTGCTCGTACAGCAACATCAGCCAAATGATTTCCTTGGGCAAGAGGCCCTGGGAGGTTGGAATGAACTCGCAGATGACCAATAAAGAACTTATGACGGTGAAGCCGTATGAAGCATTGTAATTGTTTGAACAGATTTGCAGCTGGGGAAGCATGACATATAGTAGCAACAGTCTCTAATAATGGAACAGACTGAGCAAGGTAAGCACTGTCAGTATACAAATTAAATGGTTGGTTAGAGTAAGCAGCAAAGGCTGCAAGAATAGCTTCTAACTCTGCTAATTGTGCAGAGGAAGTATCTGCCTGGAGGGTAGAAACATTGTCTTGAGATACATAAGCAGCCCTTCCGGAGGATGAGCCATCAGTGAATAACACCAGGGCACCTGGAAGGGGTTGTGAAGCTGTGACTTTAGGGAATATAAATGAGTGACGATTAGCAAAGTCAACTAGCTTATTTGGAGGGTAATGATTGTCAATAGTCCCTGAATAGGAAGCTAAGGCAATAGGCCACACTTCAGTACTCTGAAGTAGCCAATCTATTTGGTCTTTTGTAAAAGGTTGAATGATAATATCTGGTTCTTTGCCAAAGTAACATTTTCCTGCTTTCTACCCTGGATTATTAGGTCTGAGACAGCTTGGAAATAAGGCAAAAGTGTTCTTTTTGGAGAGACTGGTAAATGGACCCACATGAGGGGAGCTTGTTGCCAGAACACTGCTGTAGGGCAAAGCTTTGTATTAAAAATGAGAAACTGTAAAGGCTCATTGTAGTCCATAAAGGAAACGGTTTGTTGAGCAATAGCCTCTTCTACTTTACTGAGTGCTCTCCTGGCATCAGGTGTAAGCTCTCGGGGGGAAGTTGGATCTATGTCTCCCCGAAGCAGCGCATAAAGGGGCTGTAAATCATGTTTAGTTAGTTTTAAAAATGGTATGAGCCAATTAATATCTCCCAATAGTTTTTGGAAGTCATGAAGTATAAAGGAATAGAGAAAAAGCAATCTTTAAGATCTATGACAATTTTAAAAAATCCTAAAGGAATGGCACTGAGTGAGGGGAGGCCTGGCTGTAGAGGCCCCATTAAGACCATTGTCTTATTTATCGCCCTAAGGTCTTGTAGCAGCCTCCACTTTCCTGACCTTTTCCGGATAACAAAGATAGGTGTGTTCCAAGGGGAATTACTAGGAACAATGTGGCCTGCATCTAATTGGTCCTGCACCAGCTGCCTTGCGGCTGCAAGCTTTTCAGAGTTAAGGTTGTTTCTAAAGGCTTATATGAATCCCCAATTGGCCATGGAGGCACAGGGAGTGGCGGGCTGCCATCCTGGGACCTGCTGATCACGTCAACAGGTGGAAGTGGTGGCAGATCACCATGTATGAGGACCTCTAACAGGCCATCATTCTCTGCATCTGAGAAATCAGAGGCTTCAGATTTTTCTGAGGACGGTTTTGAGGTAGATTTAATGGAGTCGCGCGAGGCAGCCTCACCCAGTGCAACTGTCTCCTCAACCTGAGGGTCTGCATGCCTCTGGGCAAGCAGCTCAGAAATTAAATTCCAATATGTAAAGGTGGTCACAGGAACCTTTTCTGGACCGAAAACTCTATAATAATCTTTTAAAACATCTCTTACTGTATTTCACCTCTTGGTATCTATAGAACCCTCTAGGGGGAACCAAGGGCAAACCTTATGAATAAACTGAAAATACTGCAATAATTTTTGTTCTAACCCTTATCTCTCTTGTCTTTAATGCCTTTATAAGGCCTCCGACGAACACTTCATGTTCGCTCAATACTTGACCCATGTCGGGAAAGGGAAATGGGGTTGCCGTTCACTCACCGTGACTCGGGCAGGACGTCGGGTAGTCGTCTGCGCAGGTCTCGGCACTTGATTTAATGTCCTGTTGCTTTAAACTTTAATCCTTGATTCAGTTTACTCATTCCTCGGCCGAGGTCTCTGGTTCAATTTGCTTTCACTTTCGGTTTAAGCCGGCTGTCTCTCGAACGGCTCCCTCGTTAACTTCTCCGTGCCAGGGGCTCCCACGCTGAGCGCCACTTGATCCGGCCTGCAGATCAACAAGTTCAGAACTCCTGGAGGAGAAACGGGGATTAAACAAAAGACATGGGGGAGACAAAAAGAGACAAAGGCAAGTTGATGTTAACCCAATCAAGCCTCCGGTTTATTGAGAAAATAATCACACCTTTTATAGGCTAAGGGCGGGAGCTGGGACAGGAAGAGGTTAAACAGATGAATACAACAGGGTTACCATCACATCCGGATAAGTGACGTAAGCAGAAGAGGATTATGGTTAATGTAGGCAGACGCAGTGCCCATAGGAGAGAGAGAGAGAGACATCTAGGCAGCAATGCCTGTCACTCGGCTCCCTACAGGACACGGCCCAGGCTGGTGCCCGCTTCAGCAGTGTGTCCTGCTTCTCACCTGCAGGAACACAGCTGAGCCTGGAGCGCTGCCAGGCAAGGCCGCCCTGCGGGGACCAACTCCTGCTGTGGGGCCAGGTGTTCCTCACGGACTTTCAGCCTAATTACTGGTCTTTCAGTGAGCAGCTAGACAGGACCAGGCCCTCTTGTAATTTTTTCTCTAAAGCAGGCATCCTGCTGGGAAAGAGGGGACACGAGGGTTCCCCTAGACTTTCACCAGCAGCAGGGACTCTGGGAACAGGGCCGGTCACACGCACACAATTCAAACGGGGCATGTGGTGCATGTGTGCGGTGCCAGCATCCTGGGAGGACTGAGCCCAAAGGCAGGAGGGTCACACATTTGAGCCCAGATGGGGCAACTTAGCAAGACCATGAAAAATGAAAAGGACCAGATATGTAGCTCAGTACAAAGGTCCCAAGTTCAATTCCCAGCAACACACACACACACACACACACACACACACACACACACACACACAGGAGTTCATAATTTAATGTGCTATAATAGTGTTATAGATTAAAAACTGATGGTCAACTTAACACCAGCAGAATAAAATCAGCATGGTGCTGAGTGTAGACGTTCCAGCTGAGGAAAGTTGGGAGGCACTGAGGTGTTGAGGCACTGTGGGTTCTCCTATGAGCTGCTGTTTGAGCCGTTGGTTCTCCTGGAGAAGCTCTGGTCCTCACACTGAGCATCGCTTCCTGGCTCCGGAGAGGAAGACGTGTGCTGCTTCGTCTTTAGGATGAACTCATCACGCTGGCTTCCTGGCATGTCCCCGACTGTGCTTGTCTTTGTCGGAGCTCGGGGCCTCCGTGTCGCTGAGGATGGCTGTGGTGCTTTTCAGGACACCCCTAGTCTTTATTATGAGCATAACTTCTCAGCTCCAGCGTAGAACCCTCATCCCACCAGCACAGCTCCTTCACCTCACTGGCAGAGACTTTCTAGCTTCCACCGCAGACTTTGGGCCTTCCCAGCGTGGATCCGTAAAACAAACTGGCATGAGTCCTTCTCGTGGGCTCTAGACCTCTAGCTGGACTTGTAGGAGGCATTGACACAGGTCATTTTTATCTGGACTCACATAGGACATTGCTGTGGGATTCAGGCCCTTGGCTGAATATTTTATATCTTTGGTGCTGTGGACAGATTTCCTGCACTAACCCTTTTTCTTGTGTTAACTCTGGGTGACCGTCATAAAACAACATGATAAATTCCATGTCCTGATTTGATGGTTCTCCTTATAACCCCTGACCGCAACAAATAGAAAGCAATTTTTTTTCTTGTTCCCAGTTGCTGGCACGCATCTCCTAAAACCCCTGAGACCCCTGGCATGCGATGCCTTTGTGTGCCGATGGCCAGTGGCTGCAGCCCTAGATAGCTTCACAGTAGACAGCTCCACAGCCGGGGCTCCTGCAAGTCCAGGGCATGGTTGGAGGAACTACTGGCCTTACCCTTGGCCTCTAGGGAGGGAGAGAATCTGGGGACTGAGTTCACTCACAATGGTAACCATTTCTTCATTCATCATGCCTCTCGGAGGAAACTTCCACAAAATCCCTAAACAGGGACTGCAGAGCTCCCAGGTTAGTGAATAGACCACAGTGCCAGGAGGGCAGCGCCCCAGGAGGGGACATGGCAGCTCTAACTACCCCGTAGCACACCCACATGCCGCACTTACACCCGACTGCTCCTTTGTAAAACACTTTGAATCCCAAACACAGAGGACTCAATGACCCGTTAGTCATTCTCATGAACAGCCAAGTCTGAAGAAGGCTGTGCAAACCTGCACATTCTCCTCAAACAGGAGGGGGGTAGCTGGAGCCCCAACCCTTACGCCCACGGTCGGCAAGAAGGACAATCTTCTGGATGTGGCTCCTAACCGTGGATTCTGGGCAACCACACAGGGTGTCAGAACTGAATAACTGAACTAAACTGAACTGAAAGATTAGACTTCTGGTTGGTGTCAGAGAAATGGAGATTTGACTGATGTGAGCAAAAGAATCTGCTGGAAAGCAGACTCAGGCAAGATGCCCCAAATCTGTTGTGGCCTTTTCTCTAGCAGTACCAATGCCATGCACAGGTTATCGAGGTCCGTTTTTTAAAAGCAGAGAAGCTGACCAGAGCTCTCCGGCCCATTTTGTGAGTCACCTCCCCAGATACACCCTGGCACTGCCCTCCAGCCTCGTTCTAGACAACTTGCCATTACATCCTCACCTGCACTGTCCCCTGGTCCCTTATCTCCATTCAGTCCTATAAGCACCCTAATGTTCTGAGAACTGTTCTAGAGATCTTTTCTTTTGGAAATTTAATTATCATTCTTTTCCCCAAAGTTAATAACCTCTTTCCCAGGGATATTATCTCTTGCTTCTTCTCCTGTTCAGGCAAGTAAGCAGCTCCCATCACGGCTGAGTTCCCTGTCTTGCTGACGAAAAGGATTGGCAGAGTCAAATATTTTCTGGTTGCAAGGAACAAATACCTAACCAAGCTCACTGGAGTCAAACCAGGAAGTTTATTATAAGTTATCAGATGCCCTGAGGCCCTGGGTGCCCTCACCAGTACAACTTTTTAAAGAGGCAGGAAGGACCATCAGAGGAACCTCAGGGCAGAGATAAAAACCAGAGAGCAGTCAGAGGCCAGCTACTGCCACTCTGTCAGACCCACCTCACCCCACCCCAAATCTCTGCTGCCCATAATTTCTCAAAACCCCTCTTTGCTTGTCCTCTTTATTCTTCTCACCACAGTAGGTTTTTCTGCTTCTCTGCCCACATGATGAAAGATGACCTCACATAGACCCCAGGATGCATAACCCTTTAGCTCAAGCAATCACTTGAAACCAAATAAGCCCACAGATTCATCATTCCAAAGTCCAAACCAAGGACACTTATTCCACAGTACCACCTGTGTCGCAAACAGCAATCCACGGTCGTTTGTCCTCAGAGAGACAGTCACGCAACACCGGCATGGCTGCGCTGAAGAGACAGTTCTTCGACAAGAGGGTGGAGGAATACGGTCCTAGCGGATAAACCGAAACCTAAGAGCTTCCTAGAATTACGCAGTCAACCTACAGAGAAGCTGGCAGGATCATCTGCGCGGGCACGGAGGGGTCTTCAGCAAGTCTGTCCTTAGTCAGTGCTTGGTGGTGGGAGCCACCTGCAGGAGCAGCTGGAGGTGCAGGGTGGCGGCCTGCAAGCACGCGGGTTGGCACCGGAAGTAGACGAAGAGGAAGTAGGCCAGGAAGCCGCTGAGCAGGAACAGCAGGACGTACAGGAGCTCCACCTGCGGGCGGTCAACGACGGGCGCCAGCACCAGGCAGAGCGCGGCCACGACCATGACGGCAGGAACGAAGGTGGGCACCTGCGGGGCACATGGGCGTTAGGTCGCGGGCGCCGGATGATGCGGCGGGGCGGGCAGTGGTCCTCACACTCCGGCCCTCTTGCCTGCCGTCCTGTCGCTCCCTTGCGCCCCCTGCTGTCGCCTCTGTCACTGCAGGAATCCTCAGATGAGCTCGGAGAGCCACCTGCTGGGCGCCGGGGCGACATGGGCAGCAGAGCCTCTGCACTAGGAAAACCCGAGTGTGCACTCGCACCCTCTGCATTTGTCTCTGCTGGTTTCCCTTCATGGCCGAAACAAGTTTTCAACCAGCAGTTAATGCCTTGTGACTCAGCTGTCCCTCAGCCCCTGGAAATACGGAAATTCTCTACCAAGGATAATTACAGTGATGACCCCTTACGTCCTACACCCTCTGGGCCTTGAAGGAAGTCACAGCCACACACCTGCCTCGTGGGCCATTGGTGGGTCACGAAAGCGGAACCACTTTCCCTAAGCTACCTTGTAAAATCGGGGAAGATGCTTGGTCTTCATCCGCAAGTACAGGAGACAGCTGATGGTGATCCCGTAGGTGATCCAGGACAGGGAGCTGCGAGGAGAAGGCTGGGTCAGGGCTCCTCTGGTGGTCCCAGCTGGACCGGGAGTCCAGCTTTGAGGCAAGGGGAGAGTCTGTGGGGCATGGGCGAACCCTGGACTCTGCAGGAACAGAGACTTGTTGCAGGGTCCTGGCCCTGCACCTGCCTTTTCCCTTCCTGGAGACATGACAACGGGACCTGACAGGAGGGTGGCCCCTTCCCAGCCCCAGGTCTGTGGCTCAGCAATGATCTCAGTGTGGTAAAAATTCCCTGCGCCCTTGGGGTGAGGCCCGGGCCAACTCTCCAGAAGGTCAAGGCCGAAAGGTGCTGAGTCCTGACTGGGCTGGACGGTCCTCAGCTTTGCACTCCACTGGGGGCGTTCTCAGCCACGTGTCCTGCTGTCCACCCGAAAACCCCTGCTGTCTCCGTGGATTTTACTTTATCCTCACCATCTAATTTTATCCTTTCTCATGGGAAAAAGATAAAAGGAAAAAGCCATATCCGTTACTTCTTGTTCCTCAGAGAGTCACATCACCGCACTCTATGTCCTGTTTCCAGATTCATTGGACAGCAGGGAAGCACAGAGCGCCTTAAAATCACCGAGAACCCTGTGCACCCAGGTTGGGGCTCACCCGCCAGGCTGAAGCTCTGCCTATTGACCCCGCTTCAAATGAACTCATAAAATCACAGCTGGCCACAGCAGCAGCTCGATGTCTATCTCAAGGAAAGCAGTAAAATGGGGTCAGAACCTCGCGCTTGGTGCAATCAGTAACTGGGCCAAGACAGATTAGCGTGGGTTTACTCTTAGTCTGATCAGGATTCTGTCGGGTCAGAGTCCAGATTCCAGACCCAGATTGCAAAGGGAAACTCACACCACGTCCAAGAGCACCCCACACAATGCCTGAATGCCCTTTCACTTTACCTTAGCAACTGAGCAAAGGAACGAGAGAAAAAGCACTGACAGAGACAGCCCCAATTGTCTGGATCTTGGTGAGACAATTGTCTTAATTGTCAGGAGTAACCCAGTCCAAGAGAGGAGAGAGCCACACTGGATTTTGGACACATGATCAGGAGAGAAAGGCTGAAACACAGCTGTGAGGCCCCTGAGGCTGGTTCCCAGAAGCATGCGTGACACAAACATGTGTGAGTGTGTACATGCAGGGGATTTGGATCCCCAGCCTGGGAGACAGTTTCACCTGCCTGGAGAGGTTCACGATGGTCCTGAAGTCCCCTATGATGACCAGAACCAAAGCCAGGGCTGCAGAGAACATCAGGGCCGGAGCTGGGGTCAGGCGATTCACGTGGATCATGGACAGAAGTTGGGGCTGGGAGACAAAGCCGGGTATTAGGCTGACCCTCCCGAGATCCACATGGGGTCCCTCCCCCCCCCCCCCCCGACAAACGCCCTGAGCACACCAGTGTGCTGGCCGATGGGTCAGCACAACTTTCAGGCTCACATCTGTCCTTCACCCGGGTGAGCAGGCCCAGGAGGAGGCGACAGGGAGGTTTGGAGGGTCACGGAGAAGGACAGGTATCTGAGCTCCACCTCGGCAGCAGGAGCTCAGTTGATGTGGGCTGGGCCAGCGCGCTTCTTTGTCAACAAAATGTGAGCAGGAGTAACAAGCAGAGGTGCTAGTGTGACTCCCCTGAGCCCCACTCAAGGCACACACACATGCCAGGGTTGCTATGACTTTGTCCCAGGTCCCTGAGACAGGAGTGAGCTTGGTGCAGTGGAAGCACTCTGAAGGGGCCAAGGCGGACACAGTGAGAAGCGGCTGTGATGTTCAGTATTATCCTTACAGGAAAGTTCCTGCAGGGACAGAGAGTCTCTGGCGAAGTGGCCGTCGTGTGCTCTCTGGGCCCTCTGCACCCTTGTCACGCACAAATGTCCTGACTGGCCATGGCTTCCACTCTGTGTCACCCCAAAACGTGGATGTAAGGGGGTTAGAGTTAAAACCGAGAGCTGTGCAGTGTTCCAGGGCTGCTCTCAGGAGAAAAGAGGGCCACGTCTTATGGGGAAGCGCGTACTCAAGCTAAACGCTGAGCTTCGGGCAGGAGAAAGCACAGCGGGCAGGCCTCCACGTGCATCTCCTGCAGCCCCCCGGGGTGGGCCCAGACCCCATCTCTCACCATGTGGCCCTCTCTTGCAGCTGCGTAGCACACACGGCTGCCACTGAAGAACACCACATTGGCGGAACCAAATGCCGAGAGTGAGGCCGACACAGGCATCAGCCAGGCCCAGGACCCCAGGACCTGGTTCCTAGGACAACAGAGCAATCAAAGGAAGGCATTCTGGCTGCAACCCAGAGCACATCAGAGGCAAGGTCCAACACACGCAAAGCGTATCCATCCCACCTCGGGTCATCTATCTGACATCCAAGGACACAGCGTTGATCACTCACCCCCAGCTCACAGCCACAGCCTCGGAGGAAACGATCTCTTGGGGCGACAGCACCAGGAGGTAACTGATGTTGACCAGGATGTATAGGCTGGTGACCAGAGGGATGGCGATTGTCAGTGCCAACATCAGGTTCTGCTGCATGGTAGGGAAGGGAAGGTGCATGTTAGCCAGCAAGGTCTTTCTAGGTCCCAGGACAAGGTCAGCAGCGCAGTGCTGAGACCCTCCTACACAGGGCACTGTGAAAGGCCCTGGGACTGGGGACCATGTGCCCTCCTCCATGAGCTCGGGATGTGCACAGCCCGGACACACATCCCTGCAGATGGGCTGGGAGCCCTTGAGGGGCTCTTGCCAGAACCAGAGCAGCAGGAGTACAGAGGGGATGCCAGGGTGAGGCAGGGAGAGAAGTGATCACCAAAGCCTCCAGCATGAGGAGGCCTTTAAGCAGGGCTCTCCCTGAAGGGCCGGAGAGACTCAGGCACACGGGAAGGAGGAGAATTCCAGCATAGGGAAGAGAAGAAAACTTAGACCTCATTAGTTTGTTATTCCCTCCCCTCAGTTAAGCATCCCTCTTTGGGTGGCACCCGGCTTCTGCTCCTCAGTACTACAGAAGAAGCAATCCCGCCCTCAGTGTCCACCGGCTTCACTGCAGGTCCCCAAGTCGTGCCCAGCAATGATGCTGCCTCATTCCCCTTCTTTCCTGGGGATACATTGTCCTTCGTGGCACCCAGGTTTGAGGACTTGCTGTTTCTACAGGGCTGTTTCCACACACGGTATCACCTACCAGGCCAGCTCCAGGCCCTGCCCAGCAGGAAGCCTCGTTGGAGGGCTCGGCTCTGTTCTTACCCACCCCAGCCCCCAAGCAGGCCGTGTGCAAATCAGTGGACATGAAGCAAACAGAACAGCCACAGGCTCTTCCGTGAGCGGGAACTCTCAGGTCCCTTCCAGAACTAAAACCCAGGGTGGCTGATTCTTCGCCAGCCCAGCCCTGGAATCTGCCTCTGCCGAGGTCCCAGTGAGGCCACCCGAAGCCAAGGTAGACAGTGTTCTTCCCCTCATGGGCTGCGCTGGGGGACATCCTCAGCAAGGTGAGCTCCGGCACGCATGACCCAGCCCTGAGGCTTGGGATGTTTCCACACTTGACCTCTCTCTGGACAGCCCTCCCACCTCCCATGATACGTGACAATGGCAGAGCCTGAGTCCTGTTATGGACAGGTCCCTGGCCAAGACACCCCAAGAGCAGTGACATTTTCTGATTTCATTCCCAGGGTCCTAATTCTATACTCCGATTTTAGGGAGTCTGAGCATAAGTCTGGACCTGGTTTGGAACAAGTATTTCTGTTTCTGGAAACAAAGTATGAAGTAGAGATAAACTAATGCATGCTTTAGAGGACCGAGTTAGAACAGAATCTCAAGTGCCAGCATTCGAGGACTGGAGTAGGCCTTACTTAGAGACCCACATTCATCGGAAGTGCTCTGGATAATAAACCACAGCTGGGGACCAAACCCAGCCTGGTAAAGTTGTCCTGGGGCACGGCCACACTCCTTTGTTGATTTAGGGCTGTTTCCACGCTTCGGCAGAGTTAAACTAACGTGGCAGGGACCAGTGACCTAACATGGCCACCCTCTGAGCCCTCACAGAAAAGCTCCGTGGAGGGCTAGGGTAGGCGTGGACATGCGTCCCCCACAACCATAGGCTCCTGCTCCTCCCCCAACCCTAGGGACCCGGAGGCAGGCTGAGGACGTGCTCTCCATCACCTGGAGCAACCACAGTACAGCTGCTCTCAGCACTCTAACCCAACCCGCCTGCTGTGAGTCGGTGCACACTGACACTGCAGAGCCCAGAGGCGCCTCACGGTAAGACCAGTCCCATCTTACGGCAGAGAGCTGAGCAATGACAAATTACGTGCAAAACTAAAACTAGGTCACAGGCCTCTTGACTCTTGTCCCAACTCACACTCTCTCTTTTTCTCTCTCTCTCCTTCTCCCAGATCCCCCTCCAGGGCGCCTCTGCCAAGACTCAGAGAGCTGAAATATCCTTAAGTCAGTCTTGGGGCTGTTTTTATTCTAAAAGAACTGAAAACTCCTGCAGGGAAAATGCAAAAACAAAACAACTGACATCCTGAGCAAATACATTTATAGTGAAGGGTTAGTATCCTAACTCATCAAAGATCCATGTGCCCCAGCTGAGCCCCAAGCTGCCCAGCACACCTGTCTCCCACCTCGGCAATGACAAGTCTGCCCCAGGTTCACAGGTGGAATGGGCCTGCAGGACTGGCTTATTGTCCTGTCCCAAAGTACACCACGTCCAGTAGCCGCCCCCCAGGCTCTGGCAACTGCAAGTTAAGTGTCTACTACAAAGATCTGGATAGAACAAGCCAGGAGTATCAAGCAGAGTCACCAAGCCTCTTCTGAGCGGTACAAAGTAAAGCTAATTTCCCTGCCCTATGCCTCAGTTACCCACATGAGGAAATGGAATAATGGAGACCTTCCTCACAGGGCAGAGACACAAGATTGTGGTTGGGATACGATAAAGTACTCTGCTTTCTCGAGAATCTGTGTCCTACACAGCTGGTCACAGCAGACTGGGGCCCAGTGCCCAGGTCCTGTGTGCACAGCACAGGAGCCCGTCCCCGTGGCCTCAGTCACCCCAGACGTGGCACTGCTCGTGTCCAAGATTCACCCCTGGCGCAGCACTGAGGACTCACCTTTGGCTTCTTGAGCTCCTCCACCACGCTGTGAATGGTATTCCAGCCATCGAAAGACCACAGCCCCTGGTAGAACGCCATGCCAACCTGGCCCACCTGGCGTGTGGTGTTGTGGAAGGCGAACTGAAACGCTTCTGTGCGGCCTCGGCCCTGGCCCAGCACCACAGCCCCACCCGCCACGATGACCAGCAGTGAAAACAGCTTAGCGGCCGAGCACACGTTGGTCAGCATGGTGGCCAGCCACGCGCTCCACACATTGGCCAGCATCAGCACCAGGATGCAGGAGGCGGCCATACTCTTGATCCCCGCCGGGGGCACTGAGAGGCAGCCCGGGTAGAAGGGAGCCAGCGCGTACTCAGCCAGGCTCAGAGAGACAGCAGCAATCCCGGCTGGTTTCCTCACCAGCTCCAGGAGGTAAATTACCAGGAAGGCTGGCAAGGAGCCGAAGGTTCGCAGGATGTAGGCGTACTCCCCTCCTGCTTCAGGAAACAGAGCGCCCAGCTCAGCGTAGCACAGGGCTCCAAGCAGGGACAGGAGGCCACACACTGCCCAGACCACCAGACTGGCCCCGGGACTGCCCATGTAGACCAAGACCCCCTGCGGTGACATGAAAATGCCAGAGCCGATCATGCAGCCAGTAACCATGGACACGGCACTCCACAGCCCGATCTGCCTCCGCAGGGTCAGCCCTGGGCCAGCCGCCTGGCCACCGTCACCTCTGCTGTCCATTCTTTGCATCTCAGAACTTCAACAGATACTGCCTCCGGGTGGCAAGAGGCAGGGGCTCTGGTACCTCTTTCGGGCTTCCTGAAGGAGTTAATGATTACAGCATGACACTCTGAGCGGACGGTCAAAGAGCCAGGGTGTGGTTGAGAAGCGCTGACCTGGAGCGCACCTGTCCAGCCCGTCTCTGCCAGCGAGCTGTCTGCACGGGCTGCGGTCAGCACAGCAAATGTCGACGTTAAGTATGCTTCTGTTGTGTTTTTTATTTTGCAGTGGCCTGGGTTTGAGGCCAGGGTCTCACACGTGCTAGGCAAGCACTCTACCGCTGAGAAAACTCCTGGCCCTTTCTGTGCCGAGACAGGCTCCTGTGACATTGCTGACTTCAAAATTAGCCAGGCTCCCTCTCAGCCTCCTGAATAACTGGGATGACAGGCATTCATCCTCGGGGCCAACAAGAGTTTCAATAGAATTTAACGCTGTGGTTTGACTGGTAGGGTAATTGGTTCACATGCACAAGACCCTAGGTTTGATGCTTAGGACTAACACAAACAGACGGACAGACAGAAAGGTGGAAGGAGGAAAGCAGGGAGGGGGGGAAAAGAAAGCCCGTGTGGATTCCACAGCAGCATTGCCCGGGATGACAGACGAGAGCTCCATGCCACGAGCACCGAGCAGCTGCGCCTGGGCACCTAAGACACCTCGGCAACATCTTCCCAGCCAGTCGATCAGAAAACAGGGATTGCAAAGCAGATGGCGGATGAACTCTGCCTGAAAGAAGAGCCCGGAAGATCACAGCAGCGGGTCCCAGTAGAGAGACCCGAGTACCCCAGCAGGGATGGGAGTACACAGCCCTCCAAGGGAGGAGGTGGCTGAGGGCACACAGCCTCTGGAGTGAGACTGTTCGGCTCAGGTGCCGGCTCTGGGGCCTCAGAGTCGAGTGACCTAGACAAGGTCCTTGAGCTTCACGTTACTTCACGTTACTTCACGTTACTGTAATAGGAGGACCTATTACACATTGCTGGAAGGGTTAAAAAAATAGCCCATTCAAAGCATCTAGAATATCTATAACACATAGAAAAGGTTTGTTCAAAGTTCGTTGGTTTTGTCATTAGTTTTTTGTTTCCGTTTTGCTTTTTGAGACAGGGTCTCACTATGAACTTGAACTTACTATGAAGCCTCAGCTGGCTTTAACCTTGTGGTGATCCTCCTGCTTCAGCCTCCCAAGTGCTGGGATTACAGACATGCCACCCCATCCCATTACTATCTGGCTGAGAGTTTCATCAGTGCAGCTAGGAAAGAGGGCCTTTCTTAAGGCCAGCAGATAAGAAGACCTGAGACATGGTGTGTACCTGTACCTGCCCTTGTGAGGAACACAATCATGATGTATTACAAACATACACAAAAATAAAAATTAAAAACATATAATTAAGGCTAAATTTTAATAACCATAAAGAGTGTTCATTTCAGAATAGAGTACATAACTTCTATATTAATTATTGTTTTATTTCTAAAATATTGGATTGTAGAACCTTTCCTAGCATGGGTGGAGAAGAGTAAATTGTAGCACTCTGAGGATAAAGTGTTGACACCCGAAGTGGCCAGAAAGATTCTTGCCGCCCCTAACCCAGGCGGGCCAAGCTCAAGCCAGCTGCGTGAGCTACTTGGGTCTCACACGTGTGCACAGCCTGTGAAGCTCTGGGCTGAAGCAAGGGCTTCGTGGTCACAGCTCGCGGGTGTCTGACCCTACCTCCCCTCCATTGTGCTGCAGCCTACACTGACCCTCAGAGAACCCCGGGAGTGCCTCCCGAGTTCCTGCCCAGCAGAAAGAAAGGCAGGAGGGCAGAGAAACAGATAGGGCGAAATAGGTAAAGAAATTAGAGAGAAAGAGGAGGACAAGAAAGGAAAGGGTCCTGACGGGGTGTAGCTCGGTGGTGGGGCACCTGCCTGGCCTGTGTGAGGTCCTGGGCTGTCCAATCTTAAATTCTCAGAAAGGAGGCTCTCTGGATATGGCTCTTTTTTAGCCTGTTGTACAGCTGAGGCTCTGAAATCGATACCCTTTCCTCCTTGCTTTCCTCCAGGGGGTGTGCTAGTACCCTTACCTCTAACACCAACTGCAATTTTAGGGTGCCCCAAGACCATGGTTATGTCCCACACCTTGCTAGAAGGGCCTGCAGAGCCTGCTCAGAGCTTTTTGTATAGTCCTGGTTTATGACACCTGAGTCAGAGGCAGCCAAGTGAGGAAGTCAACAGGGCAGACTCCAGGAGGGTTTCAACCAGATCTTTCCGGTTGTCATCTCCCACGGAACCAAGACCATGCTGTCTGCACAGAACTGACACGTGACGTGTGCGTCCCATGACCCACCAGGCACACGCACAGGGGGTGTGGTGCCCGGGTCCTGGACAAGGGTCCATCACACTGTTGGTTGCCCATGCAGCTGATCTTGATCATGGAAGTCAAGATCTTCACGACCTGACCCAAGCTCCCCAGGCAAATGAGGAGCTCTAGTAAGCATGACAGGCCAAAGACTTCGAGATTATCTTCTATTGCCAAAGGCAAGGGCCAGACCGCCCTTTGGCGAGACCGAGACCGAGTTCTTTTCTACAAAAGAGGTAGAGGCACCTGTGATCTTAAGAACATCAGAGAACACAATAAAATTGTTTTCTCCTGTCCCTGCTCCCTCCCCTCTCATCTCCTCCTGTTTCCTCTTCCTCCTCTCTCTCTCTCTCTCTCTCTCTCTCTCTCTCTCTCTCTCTGTCTCTCTCACTGATGACTGAATCTAGAGTCTTGCTCATATAATCACACACTGTACCACCGACTCGTACACCTAGGCCCTAATATTGTCTTTAGTGACTGATCTTATTTTTTTTTTATTTCAGTACTAGGGATTGAACCCAGAGCCTTTGCACTGACCTATATCCCCATCCCTTTTTTCTCTTTTATATTTAGCAAGAGTCCTGCTAATTTACCAAATTGCCAGGCTGGGCCCCAACTTGCCACCCTCGAGCCTCAGCTTTCCTGAGTGCTGGGTCACAGGTGAGCCCGCCACGCCCAGCTTCTTCATAGCATTATAACCCACTTGAGTCTCGTTCCTCACTCTCCAGATCATCGGTGCACTGTTGGTGTCAAACCCTGTCCTGGGTGGGGCAGAATGAGACCGCAGATGATTGTAGCTTCTCTTTTGACCTCTCGTGTGGCTCCCTGGAAATCCTGGAAACAAGAGAGGAACCAAGATCCTTGCAAGAAGTTGGGGAGTGAGACCATTGGAGAATAAGAGTCCTGAAACTTCAGGCACATTCTTGGGCATCTAGAAGGTCACATCCGTCTCCAGAAGGGTGCGTGCTCGGATGGGACTGAAAAGGCTCGGAGCACTCGGCTCTGACGGACCTCCCCGAGGCTCTGCACATGCAGGAAGTGAGAGCTAAGGCACAGCTGCAGACTGCCTGGCTGAATGTCTAAGTGTGCTCTGGCATCTACGCACAGGTCATCTGCAAGGGCTCGGAGGTGTTTTGATATTAACTGTTGAAGGAAATCTTTCCATCGTGAGCTGACTACAATAATCCATGGAAAGCATAGCAGAAGTGTGGGTCCAGGATAAATTCGTACATTATTGTTAACTGATTTTCATTTATGATGCCAACATCATGCCATGGATAATTGTCTTCTCAACTAAACAATGGTGTCACAGAGCTGGATACCAATATGACAAAGAATTTGGACATCTAGCTCACATCACATGAAAAAATTAACTCAAAATATGTCAAAGGTGTCAATGTAAGAATAAAAACAACAAGATTCTTATAAGGAAACACACTGTAAACCTTCATGGCCTTGGATTAGTTAACAACTCCTTAAATATGCTACCCAAAGCACAGAAATAAAAGACATATTAAATTTTATAAAAATTCAAAAGGACATCAAAATGCACTATCAGGAAAAGCAAAAAGACAACAAAGATCTCTTACGATTCAATAACAGAAAGACAAACATCCCAATTTTTAAATGATCAAATAATTTGACATTTTGCCAGAAAACATTTAAGTGACTACTGTGTATATGAAAAGATGTCCAGCATCATTGGCATTGAAGAACTGCACATCAAAGCCACCACTTGTAGTGATCACTCGTGATTCTGGCACTCTGGGAAGGTAGGACAGGAGGATCCAAAGTTTGAGTCAGCCTTGCTGACTTAATGAGACTCTGCCTTGAAATAACAGTAATAAAAAGGCTAGGATATAGCTCAGTGTGACGGTCCCAAGTTCAAGTCTCAGTACACACACACACACACACACACAATGTTGGTGAGAATGAGGAGCAATTTGAACCCTCATAAATCACTGATAAGAATGCAAAATGGTGAAGATATTATGAAAAATAGCTTAGCAGTTCATCCTAAATTTAAACATAAACCTATCACTTGGCCCAGTGTGTTATGGTTTATACCTAGACGTCCTCCAAAGCGTCATGCACTCATAGATAGGGCTTTCGGGAGTGACTGGGTCATGGGTGTGTGATACTGGCTGAGCCCTCTGATTGGCTTAGCAGAGTTCTGGGTGTGGATGATGGACTTACGGAGGGAGGGTTAACCCTGGTGTGGGTGGCACCTACCAATAGGCTTGCACCTGGATGGAATAAAAAGGGAAAGGAGGGGGAAGACTTGCTGCTTCCTGCTGCCATGCCCCTCTGACAGGCTGCCCTACTTGGAGGCCGCCAACTACAGACTGAAACCTCTACAAACTGTGGGGTAAAAGAAACTATTCCTCCTTTAACTTTTGAGTGTTGGATATTTTGTCCCAGCAATGAGAAAGTAACTAAGATGCCATGTGTCAGTCAGATGTCTGTTACTGGGACAGACACCTGAGACAAACCAGCTTGAGCGAAGATGCACGCTGGCCCACAGACTGGAGCTTTCATCCCAGGGTCAGGTGCACCTCCTGGCTCCCGCCCCGCGGTGAGGCTGCCTAGCACAGCAGGAAGCACGTGGAAAAGCTGCTTGCTTTATGGCAGCCATAAGGCAAAGAACAAGGAGTGGGCTACGGTCACAGTGCTCCCCCAGAGCCACACCCCCCCCACAGTGGCCACACTTCCTCCACCACCTCCCACTATGCAAGTGGGGACCAAACTTTGAACACAGCGGCCTTCAGATCTAAACTACAGCACAGCAGTTCAACTCCTGAGAGTTAAGAGCATGTTCACACAAAAACCCGTACGTGAATTTTCATTGGATTACTATTCTTAACAGCACAATATGGAAATAACTCAAATTTCTATCAATTCAGGGGTGGAAAAATAAAATGAGGCGTGGCAGTACCGAGCAGTACTACAGAGACATAAGAAGAAACAACAACTAGTATGTAACCTTGTGGGGAACACTGTACTAAGCAAAAGAAGTCAGACACGAAGGCCACAAATACATTGCAGGCCTTCATTTATAAGATGTCTAGGGTAGGTAAATCCACGAGACAGAACGTGGTTAGTGGTTGCTAAGAGCTGGAGAACAGAAGGTGGGAGCGACTGCCTAATGGGCATGGAGTTTCTTTTGCAGGAGTTTCTTTTGGGATGTGCTAGTATTACTGCTCACACAACAATAAGAACATGATTTTAAAAATACTTCGAACAATTGAAGTAGTTAATTTTATGTCACATAAATTATATCTCCATTCTTTTTTAAAGTTCTCTTTAATTAAAAACCCAAGATTAGGAGGTAGTATAGTGACACATAACCACAATCCCAGCACTCTGGGAGCCTGAGGCAAGGGGGCTACAAGTGTAAGTCCACCCAGCAGGTAGTAAGACCCTGCCTCACAATTGTACATAATCATAATCATGGCTTGCAGCTTAGCATGAAAGATCCTGGATTCAATCCCCAGTACAGGAAAAAAAGAGGAGGAGGAGAAAGAGGAGAAGGAGCTGGCTATGGCGGCACACTCCTATAATCCCAGCACTGTAGGAGGGTAAACAGGAAGCCTGAAAATTCAAACCCAGCCTGGGAAATTTAGCAAGATCTTCTTTCAAAATAAAAGTACTTCTTTTGTTGTTTTTAAGGGGTAGGGATGCAGCCTAGTGCAGAGTCCTTGGGTTCAATTGCCAATACTGGGGAAAATAAACTGGCTAAAGGGCTTTGGCAGGGCCTGTGTCAATGCTCAGGTCAACTAGCTTCAAGGAAATCTGCCTCCATTCCCCCTGGCCAGGGGAACAGGAAGGCCAGTCTTGCCCTGTGTTTACTCCCTGATAGCCCAAGGGCCCACTGATACACTGCTCTAGAAGTCAGGCTTCCTGTCAATTGCCTGCTTGTCAGCAGGGAGGGTAGAAGGGCAGAACTCTCCTGAAAGCTGGATCTAGCAATTGGTAGCTTCTAGAAAACCTTGTCCACTGGGTCTGGCTTCAGCCACTGCATAATGTACACTGAGTGCCCAGAAAAATACAG